ACGCGGCGACACGGAGAAACCCGAAGTTATTGAGCGTGCATTTTCTGGCGGATTTCTCGTCGCATGCTAGACACTGCTAGACACCACAGCTGTCAGATAGCTCGTGCTCATCCCACGTGCTGTATTCTATGGCGGACTGGGACGGTATGTGGCAGTATCAGCAGGGTCACTATACTGGCCCTGCCCTAGCTCAGTAGTTGCAAGGGTGCCAGAACACAACTTAGTGCGCGTCCAACAGCGCGTCACAACAAGCCAAAACATATCGTATTAGGCAAGACATAAGCAACCGAGAGCCTGGAACATCAGTACAGCGCATGGCAATTGAAAGTCCGCCCCAGAGAAACGAGAGAAACAGCTCGAGGAGCTGTTTCTCGTTTTCTCGTTCGCGCTGAGATCCCAAGTCCGATGGCCGTTCGGCAGGGACCCCGAAAGGCTTCAGCGCACTGAGAAAATGAGCGAGAAACGCTTATTGAGTTCGACTAGTGTAAGCGCGTCCGGAAGGGCCACAGATCATATGTCTGCGCTGCTGGATAAGGCAGGCCACACGATCCCGGTTCTTTCCGCCCGGCTTTCAGAACATTTTCTCATCGTCGATCTCGATTAGCGTGTCGGGTATTTCGCAGAACTGTCGCCCAGATGTGTTCGTTCGCCCGAGCGCACCTTTTAGCCAGCCAAGCAGAACCTTTTAGGGCTTTTCCCGGCACCCCCCCTCTCAGCTCTGTGCCTTGCAGCTATCGCAGCGGGCCTTCGCTCAGTTCCATATTCCCACTTTATTACACTCATTCGCTCGTTAGCGTCCGTCTGTCCTTTCTCCCCCCACCATGTCCATTACTTGGGCTGACAGAATCAACGCCCGAGTGGCCAACTCTGCCTTTGGCAGATGGTTCCACCTTGAGGGTTCGGGCCACCCTAAGGAGCGCGAGGGCTCTCGTTTTCTCGTAAGTGCACTTCTCGGACGCAGACACGCTTGCAGGATTCAATGTTATTCTGCACGCAGACTGAGATCCGCGCTGGGTTAACCACATGGGCCGCGATGGCGTATATTATCTCGGTCAACGCCTCCATTCTCGCCGACTCGGGAGGAACCTGCGTCTGCACGAACGCAGAGGACCCCATCTGCGCGACTGACCAGGACTATGCAAACTGCGTGGCGGAGGTTAACCGGGATTTGATCACGACAACTGCGGCCATTGCAGCACTGTCGAGCTTCTTAATGGGTGCACTGGCGAATTTACCGATTGGCATGGCCCCTGGTCTGGGTCTCAACGCCTACGTATGCTCTCTCCGCCCTCACGTCTCCCCATAACTGACTTCCTTCACAGTTCACCTACTCCGTAGTCGGCTTCCACGGCTCGGGCATCATCAGCTACCGCGAGGCCCTCGCCGCCGTCTTCCTCGAGGGCTGGATCTTCTTCGTGCTCTCCCTCCTCGGCCTGCGCCAATGGCTCACGCGCATCATGCCACAGTCGCTCGTCGTCGCCGTCGGCGCCGGCATCGGCCTCTTCATCGCCTTTATCGGGCTGAGCTCGAGCGGGCTGGGCGTCATCGGCGGCGACACGACCAACCTCGTCGGGCTCGGCGGGTGCACTGCGGACAACATGTACGAGGGGCTCTCGGGGTACTGCCAGCACGGGCAGCTGCGCAGCCCGACGATGTGGTTGGGCATCTTCACGGGCGGAATCCTCACCGTGCTAATGATGCTGTACCGCGTCAAGGGCGCGATTTTAATTGGGATCTTCATTACAAGCATCATCAGCTGGCCGAGGAATAGCGCGGTCACGTACTTCCCGCACACGGAGAGCGGTGATGTGCTGTTCGATTTCTTCAAGAAGGTCGTCACTTGGCACCCGATTGAAAAAATCGGGAACGCGATTGACGTGCGTATTGCTCTCCTCCCCCTCTGTAGCTTACCTCAGTTTTCATTCTGTTGTAGTGGCACTATGGCAAAGGCAAGGTGTGGTACGCCCTCATCACTTTCCTCTATGTGGATATCCTCGATACCACTGGGTACGCTGTCCTTCCCCTCACTCCCATCTATCGTGATCTAATAATGGATGCAGTACACTGTACTCCATGGCCAAGTTCGCAGGCCTCCGGGATCCCGTAACCCTGGACTTTGAGAACTCGACGATCGCGTACTGCGTCGACGCCTTCTCCATCAGCATGGGTGCGCTCATGGGCACGAGCCCGGTCACCGCGTTTATCGAGAGCGCCACCGGTATCTCTGAGGGCGGGAAGACGGGCATTACTGCAATCGTCACTGGCTTTGCGTTCTTCATCTGTGTGTTCTTCGCGCCCATTTTTGCGAGTATCCCGAGCTGGGCGACGGGGGGCGCGCTGGTCCTTGTCGGCAGTATGATGATCAGGAAGTGAGTTGATAGCACAGCTCCGGTGATACGCTTTTGTGACTGACGAGCCACCCGTCCAGCGTCCGGGAGATCAATTGGGATTACGCGGGTGATGCCGTCCCGGCGTTCTTGACCCTCATCATCATCCCTCTCTCGTACAAGTGCGTATCTCATGCATATCGCCTTGCATGGCGAAACTAATACGGTTCGACCTGATTAGCATCGCATACGGTGTCATCGCTGGTGTCGGCTCGTACATCGCCATCAACGGCATCCCATGGTTGCTGAAGAAAGCGAGCAGGGGGAGGATCGTGCCGGCCACCTACGACCTGTCGGAAGGCTGGACAATCCCCCCCGGTGGCCTCATGCCCTACTGGATGTTAGTATCTGCTCGCACTCTGTTCCTGTAAGTTCCGCCGCTGACACGAATCGCCTACAGGAAAAAGGCTCTGGGCCGCGATACCAACCCGTACCCCAGCCGCTTCAAGAACAACTCCGAGTTCCGCTTGGAGCGGCGCGAGGCGAGCCACCAGCGGTCCGTCTCCGTCGACACCGCCAGCCAGGATATCGACAACCACAAAACGCTCGAGATGCACCAGGTCGAGCCTGCCCTTGCGCAGTGATCCCTTCCCCTTCCCCCGCACATCTTTCGCGCGCTGGCCAGTTAATTTTATTCTGCTATATTTATGGCAAATGTCCCTCCGCTTCTCCCCCACCCTCCGTACTCTTCAATTCTAGGATATATATGTGGATATAGATATAACGGTCGTGTTGTGCTTTGGCTTTGGTTTCGACGGATTCAGAACCCCTGCGCGCTTCATCTTCCCTGTGGATATCGAGTGGCTCTGGGGAGCCTTCATTAATACCCTTGTAAATCGTGTATACTACTCATCACGACTGTCCGTCCACCCTGATGTCGCGGTAGGAGTAGCATGGCCGTTGTATTTGTCGTTCACTGCATTATTAGTAGCCCTTCCCCTCCTTCGCTATTCCGACTTGTATGCGCTGCAGCATGCGCGAGTAGCGGGTCGTATGCATGAATCCTTTAGCCTGGCACTGTGCAGGCCTTCCGTGCTTCCTGCCATACTCTCTGGTCTCTGGAATGATGGTGAAGAAGTGATGGACGCTGAGTGAAAAGATCTTGACTGGAAACAGAAGGCTTATCCTATGTACATCTTCCTACGGTACTTGTGCTGCCGCGGCAAGCACTGGTCGACGCCGTGTATGCCTTCGCTCGCCCTTTCGTGACTGCGACCACCTTATTATGTCTACTCGCAGTTTCCCTTACTATGGCGCATGCATCGACGTCTCAAATGCGAACAATGCACTGGTAGGCGGACAAGGTAATGGCTGTTGTCGCCCCAGCCTAACATCCACTGGCAGGGGTCGCAGTGGCACTTGGATTCAGAGCCCTGGCCGACGCCCTTACTCGCCCTTTGTCGAATACTTCCACCTTTCAGTATATGCGGTCCGTACAGGTCAGGTAAGGATAATTGGAAGAGCCCCTCCGAGTCACGTCTGGATAATCTCGCTCTGTGCGCGCCGGCCACTGTCATTGCTTTGTTCCAGGACCTCAAAGTATTTGTCGGCAGGAACTGTACGTCCTCAGACTGCTGCATATGAGACAAGGAGACATCGTTCGTCTACACCTGTGAAGCAGGCGCATCCATTGGCAGCGCGTCCTTCGCTTGATGTATTCGCACGAGGGCCTCCATCCCATGAGCTGCTGAAATCCTTTGTGCTACTGGACATCAATGGCAGCTTCCCACTCATCAAATCACCGCACTTTGATGCCGTGAAGCTCAGGATTGGCATGGCCACGGTATCGTCACGCACCGTCGGTAGCACTTTGTCGCTCATCTCAAATTAACTGGAAGGAATTGCAGCAGCATCGCCCCGCGCTGTGGCATGCCTGCGCTTATTGTTCTAGGCGTCACGGTCACTCGTTTCGTCAGCTTAAAGAGGTGGCACAAGCTGTCGTCGGAATGTTTGCCATTGATCAGGTGCAGTGATATACGCCACATCTCACAGCAGTTCCGAAGACCGCTCACTCGTTTGTAAATCGCCTCCCTTGGGCCTTGTCCACGCGTAATGGCCAGTCGCAAAACACGAATCCCCCCAGAGTACAAGGTACCCTATAAAGTCATCAAAGGTGAGCATGTCGAAGAGGTGCGAGGAACCACCACGAATGCGGCCACGGGTGTGGACGAGAAGGAAGTGAATGTAAGCCTTCGCGTCCCATACCGTTTCCCCGTGTCTGAGGCTGGTAATCGTCTGCGTCAGGAAATACACCTTCAACGGGCCTTATCCGGAGACACTCAGGGCTCCGTCCCTGTCCCAGGCGTAAGAGAGGTACTCGAATCCACGCCCCTCTCCCCCCTCCGCAGGTGGGAAGATCCGTTCAAGCATGTTCGCTGGACGGATACCATCGAAGCCGTTCTGCGGGATGGCCTTGCCAACGGCTTCTCCTACTATATGGACGAACGAGATGCAGAGTGGCTACGCGCGAATAACGAAGCCACACGCTCCGAATGCGACGAAGAGGAGACTCTTGCGCTCTTTGATGGTCTGTTTGCGCAGGAAGTCAGGTTCCACCGGAGGCCTGAATGTCACGGTAGCCGGCCAAACTTCGCTACCCGAATGGTGGTGTCAGAAGACGAATTCGAGCTGATAATGGGGTTGTACGAGGCCTTGGCACATGAGAAGGCGCAGACCTTGCAGAACGTATGCCTTATCTGGATAATATACGATTTCTTCATTCTTACCCCTACGTCAGGAGGCTGTCTTCCCAGAAAGTCTTCCGTCTTTTTTCCAGTGTCAACAGGTATTCTCTAGTGAATTGTCAACTGCCCTCTTTGCACAGTTCGTCGTACCGCAGTGGATACCAGAACCCGCGGAGCTCTGCGCATTGGGAGCAGTCATTTACTCGTACTGGTGTGAACGTAAGGTTGAACATGGAGGAAATATGATCATACCCGTCCTGAGTGTACGTCATGTCAATAACCACCCGAGCACTCATTACGTTTCTGTAGATTGGAGACGCTGGATTGGAAGACGAGCCTTACGTCTGTTTCAGGACACGATCTACCCATGGCCCGAAGACTCGGAGTGGTTATGGCCCCCTGTTACCCAAGAGGTTATGCGGTACAAATCCGGTTTTACAGAAGCTCTCTGACTGTAGCTCCCGAATTCTCCGAATCTTGCTGCTCCAGCAAGAGACAGCACGGCGCGAAAAACAACAGACGATACTGCGGCTTGAAGCGCTCCAAGTAACTGCACTAAATCAGGAGGTGGAACTGCGGCAGGACACCCTTCTGGAGCAGGCCGCTCCGTTACCATGGGCCATTCAGCTAGCCACGGCTCTAAGGAAGATGGAACCGTTGACAGAGGAATGGACGGATCGGCTGCATGGGTCAGCACGTCCCAGAAGGTGCGCACTTGTTGATGTAATAGCGTGGAAGTTCCATCCACCTGGCGTACTCACTATCCTACAGTTATCCAGTACGTCCTACCATCGTAATACCGTCGCAGAGTTCGCTGGCTCGCTCCAGCTCAACTCGTCGAACGGAGCTCTCTCTAGAGGCTCTCGACAGCGAACCAGGCGGGAAGCTAACAGATGCGGAAGAGGAGTGTCGGGCCAGTGGAGAGTGCCTTGAGGTAGCTGACTCGATGTCGTTTTTCCGTATTCCACGAAGACTGACCTCTCCGATCAAGACGCTCTCTTCCACGCTTGGGCAAACACCCTCTGCCCCCACACATTTCGACGCGGCCGGATCATCTACTGGCTTTACTACACCAACTGGGACGAATAGACCAAACCTTGGGTCGAGGTCTCTCAACGCCATCGATAGCACCAAGGAGTACGGTCTCGGGGAGCCCATGCATACTGGTCGTAATCCTGATATTACCGAAGCTTCAGAGCGGCGAAGGGGAAGACGTGCGATGTATGATAAGGACGACGAACCGGCTGGGGCCCAGCCACTCGCGCCGCAGCATGAGAATAGGGAAAATGAAGGTGTCTTCGGCCGTAGCACTGGCGGCAAACACGATGCGAATCAAGAGTCTACTAGCCATTCGTTTGGAGACCTGATCTTTGCGACTCGACCTTCTGAGGCTACCGGCGATACATGCAACATTTCCCGGAAGCCACTGTCCAACCGCGTTCACCAGCCCGCCCTCGCTAATCAAGACCCCGCTGACCCTCTGAACGCTTCTGGCCTTAGAGAGATCCTCTCTTTCGATCTAATCCGGAATATGCCATATTCTATGTTCAACTTCTACAGCGACTCTACTTCCGCTGGGCCCGGTTCTTTCAACGCCCAAGGAGGTTCTTCGGAGAACACGGCGCCTTGCACGTCCGGTTCCTCTCGCCAAGATGGTATCCCTTATAACGAACCTGCAGCAACCGGACTCTTGACCCCCAGACGTTGCCTTCTAGACTCCTCTCGTTACCCCCCGACGACTAATTCGACCGGTGCCCATTCTGAGGCCGAGAACTGCTCCCCAGTTAAGAGTGCATCTCCCCCGAAGTCCCGCGGGTCTGCGAAGCCATCCTCACTCTGAGTCGATCCGCACAATATATCCCTCACATACATGATTGAAGGGATGTTCTCATTGTGCAAGGCCTCGTTCGCTTGTCTATCCCTTTATGCGGATCCATGTCATTCTTTTCCTATGTATCCAGTTCTATCCTCCTATGTAGCCTATGCGAGTACCATGTGTTATGCTGTTCACCCATGTATGAAATGATTCCTATGCCACATTAACTGTCTTGAACGTATTCGATGACACGAAGGGAACAGACACCCGTTCTCAGAACGACACTCACGGCAGGCATACCGATTAAGAACAAGAAAGCAGAGCCATTAATTCCGATAGCGTGTCTATACGTGATATTATAACAATATTCCAGCCCCAATCCCAGTGTAGCTGCGTGCGCCCTTAATCAATCTTCTTCCCGTCCGCACTAGCCTCGACCAACGCCTCCGCCTTGAGACCCTCCTGCTCAGCCTCGGAGTTGATCTTGTTCTCGAACGCCTTCCACTCCTCGACGGACATGTTCTTGGCCTTCGCCTGGCGCTTGGCCTCATCCATGCGCTTGCGGTACGCGCGGTACTTGGTGTCCGTGCCGCCGAGCCAGTCGCACCAGCGGAAGCTCGTCGAGTAGTTGTTCACAAACGCCATGTGGTGGAAGTCGTGGTGCTCCGCGCCGGACCAGAAGGGGATGATGTGCTGCAGCGACCACGGGAAGTCGTACCCGCTGTGCGCGTCGATCGCCTGGAAGAGCCGCAGGGTGATCCAGATGTAGACGGTGAAGATGTGCAGGTCGCGCATGAAGTACGAGTAGAGCAGCGGCCCCGCGATCGTGCCCGTCCCGAGGATCAGGACCTCTGCGGGGTGCGCATACTCGGCGGCGAGACCAAAGGGCGCCGAGTACTTGTGGTGAATCTTGTGGATGTGCTTGTAGAAGACGCCCTGGTGGAGCATTTGATGCGCTGCAGGGGGTCGTCAGACATGAATGCAGAGCCGAAAATGATTTGACACCCACAGAAGTAGTGGAACATGTCCTCAAATACGAAGAAGACTGCGATTTGCGGGAGCATGAGTTTCCAGGATGGGAGAGGGACCTGCCATGTCGCCATGCCGATGGTCTCTGCGATAGGGTGGAACAGCCAAATCTGAACGAAGCAATGAGCACTGTGACACGCAGAGTACCGTCGTCACTCACCAAGGGAGCCTCAATAGTAAAGTGAGAGAACAGAACGAGTTTGGTGCACTCCCACTGCTCCTGAGATGTCGGGATCTTGTTCGGCTGGAGCTTCCACTGGCGGAAATAGGGGATTGCGTCGATGATGATCCATGGAATGCAACGACCGAAATACACAATCTATGAGGGTCTTGAGCGGCTGTAAAGTGCGACAGAATAAACTCCCTGCTGACCTCGTGAATAAGGAAGCTCATCAACCCCGTGGCAAGGATGGGGTTGCCTATCCAGAGGTACCAGCTCGCCCACTGCTGCTCGACCCAGCTGAGCTTGCTGAAGTCGAGGTTGGCGTACAACGCCTCGGGGGAGGGGGCGGCGGGCGCGGTGGCGTTCACGTAGTAAGACATGTCGGGGCGAGCAACGAACGAAAGCCTCGACGTCGACGCTTTTATGGGGGCCTGAAGGAAACCGCACCACTTTTTCGACAGGCCAGCATTTTATTCGATGAAAGGTGGCGTGAGGGGCATTTTCCGTGGTAACCGCCAATCGGAAAGGGTAATAGCGCGAGCTCTTACGTTTGCCGGTTCCCACATATTTTAGGACCGCTCGAGATGGCGCCTGGCCGGCATTTGCGGTCGATGTCGCGGTCGACGGCGAGGGGGTGGGGAGAGCTGGGTGAGGTTGGTAGCGAAGGAGAGCATGCGTCGTACGTCTCCAGATTTTTTCTGGTATTTTGTGTTCTCCCTAACGACGTCGGCCTCAGGGGAATCTCGACCGCGTTCCTGCTCTTCCCCGAGTACTGTAGGGAACGGAGCCGCCTCGGATGACTGTAAAATCTCATCACAGGAAGGAAATGCAACTGATGCCAATGGTCTGGTACTTCGCTGGAATGACGGGAAAGGGAGCAGAATACGCTAACAGGTCCTGGATGTCGAGCTTGTCTGAAAGCTTTGGGGCGTTTCTTCAAGCTCTATCTGCCGTTCGGATTGGTTGGCGTTTAGGACTTGAAGATAAGGTGCGCCTAATCTACCTCGGATTACACATAACAAGGCCCGTTTGTGGTGATTCATATCGCTTGAGTGCTGCAAGCAACGTTGTAGTTCGCGTGCTGACTATATTAGCCATCTAAACGTCCACCGGGGAGTTGCTCGTACGAACACATCCCAAGAGACTGCTAAGTAGTTCAAAGTACCAATCGTGGAGTCATGATCATCTCCGGGTCTGTAACGGCCGTCCGCGACTTACGCCAGAGGTAATGCAGTGAGCTACCCTGTTCGGTCATGGTCTGGTCGGACTGCATTCGTTCTCACTCCGGGTGGCAATTGGACAGTGTTCACCCAGGGGTCCTTGAAGTGAGTCGTGACCATTGCCGGGTATCGCTCTGCATATATGATGATGGGTTACTCATGACGTCTGCGCACGATGCTCCTGGAAACTTGACGCACACAGAGCTGCGCACATTCGTGCAGGATAAACGCATATATGCTATTTCATACATCCTCTGTATAGGATGGGAAACTGCCCTGTCTTCGTCATCATCAAATCAGCACGCAGGGTTAGTCTGCCATGCTAAACTTGCATCGACGTGGGTTTATCCCCCGATCTCCTATAGAGTGAAGGGCTTACAGGACGACACATGGACGTAAGAGGCGTTTGGAGTCCATTCTTGCTGAGAAGCGTAAACAGTCCGATGCAGTGACCCCGGTTTCGCTGCCTAATCTTTCCTTTCTACAACTGACTTGGTCAGATTGGACTTTGGTTGTACGCAGCTGTGTGAGCTCTGTCCTCTGACTTTCAGGCTCTACTCGTCCATTGCGAGTTCTCAGGGATGCCTAGAGTGATCCGCGCAGGCCTCTCGCGCCATCGTTACTTCACCACCATCGTTGCCGAGACATGCCATTCGATCCCGATAGCCTCAGCTAGACAGCGCTGACGAGCATCCTCCCCACAATTCCATTGATGTTATAGGGTGGGGGCCGGGTTCAACGGGCAGTTGCACTAAGGATCAGCATCGAGATGCTCAAGCGAGCATCCGCTACTCCTGGAAATTCAATCTCAAGGTGCGTTTGACTGATCTACACGGCGCTAGGACTGAAGAAAACATGACCGGATAGAACATTCAGCCCAGGGGTTGGGAGGACAGTCGCGCAACTGGTGGGCGCGCACTCGCAAGGAGGGACGCAGGTCCTGTTCTGCTCTCAAGGGCAAGTTCTCCCCCCTTGCAGTGCTGTATACCACCCCCACCTGCCTCTTCTCAACTGCAAGAATGGGCCTTGCCCTCATAGAGAGGAAAGCCTTTCAGCCACTGTTCGGATTGCCGATCGCCACACTACTCCGGCATAGATAAGATCCCGGCCCGGGTCACCCGCGCACCCCCTGCGCATGCGTATCAGACTACTATCAGTGCCTCTGTTCTATTTATCAACGCCTTCTCCGACCTCAAAAGCCCTTCGGCATGAGTTCTGGCGCGATACCGACGAGTCATCCACTTCCCCCAGCCTACTATCACGATGCCCAGGGTAACTGTTGTCGGCGCAGGCGTGTTTGGCCTCACGATTGCGCTCTCGCTGCCGAGGCATTACGATGTTACAATCGTCGCAAGAGACATGCCTGGTGATCCCGATAGTTTGGGTTGGGCGAGCCCTTGGTGCGCATTGCGACGTTTCGTGGACTTGGTCTCTGGTTCTGACCATTACATCTCAGGGCGGGGGCGGGTTTTGGCGGCGGGGGCACGAAACCCAACGACCCGGAAGAGATGGAGATGCTCAAAGCTGCGTTCCGCTACTTCTGGACTCTGTCAGAGGAGCACCCGGAATCGAGCGTCAAGGTGCGTAGCTGCCCCGGCGTCTGCATCCATTCTCAATAACATTCCCAGAAAATGCGCGACGTCTTTATCAGAGACAACGTGGACACAGACTCGGATCTGTGGTGGAAAGACTTCATGCCTGATGTATTACGCCCCCTCCCCATCGTCGCGCGCGCTAACGAGTTACACCGTACGTAGTACCGCATCATGGACCCCTCTGAGCTCCCGCCCGCGTCGAACGCCAAGATCGGGATCACCTACACCTCGCTCGTGCTCACGCCCGCCACCTACCTCGCCTACCTCTTCTCCCTCCTCAAAGCCTCGCCCAACGTCTCCATCGTCCGCTCAGAGTTATCCTCCCTCGAGCAGCTCGTCCCCTCCTCTTCCTCCTCTGCAGGTGCCTCTCCCTTCGGCGCGGTGGCACCAGACGTAATTGTCAACGCCTCCGGTGTCGGCGCCGGGTCCCTCGTGAACGACGACCTCGTCGAGCCCGTGCGCGGGCAGACGATCGTCATCCGCCAGCCGGACGTCGACCACATGACGCTCCGTTCCGGCATCGACTACTGCTACGTGATCCCGCGCGGCGACGGCACCGTCGTCATCGGCGGGATCAAGGAGCACGGCAAGACGTGAGTCCCTTTCCCCCTTCCTTCCCTCCCTCCCGCTTACCCTTAGTGATAGGTCCCCGGAAGTCGACCCCGAGATCCGGAAGGACATCGCCTTCCGCGCGCACCAGCTCGACCCGCGCGTGCCCTCCTCAGTCGAAGCCCTCGACGTCGTCCGCGACATCGTCGGCATCCGCCCCGGGCGCCGCGGCGGGATGCGCCTCGAGGCGGAGGTGCTGGAGTTGGGCGGGGGAAGCGTGCCCGTTGTCCACGCCTATGGTGCGTGTTCTGTTTCTCCTGGCTGCCGAATGGGAGAGTGAATTGACGAGATTTGTGTGCAGGCGCAGGTGGGACGGGCTACGCGCTCTCGCCCGGCGTCGCGCGCCGGGTCGCGCAGATGGTCGACGCGTTCGTCATGGGCGACCAGTTCCCGCATCCGCGATTGAGTACGCGGGGTACGTCGGCTGTCTTGGCGACCGAGAGGGAGGAGCAGAAAGCGGGCAGGTGTAACGTTATGTAGGTTTCTTTGTGGCTTACAAGACAGGGTGCGAATATGATGTTGTACAGTGGTAGGAGTATGCACCGCTGCGAGCATAGATCAAGTCGGCAGTGACGCTGACGGATTCTCATGCGAACATTGACTGAGGAAACATTTGCTACCCATGACATTTGGCAAAACACTAGCTTCCTTGGAACTCGTATCTGTCGTACATCCGACATACGCACACACTCATACCCATAGGAATCAGCCCCTCATTCAATCATCAGCATCCAGCTTCACGCATCGGTGTATCCACGACCGCGCTCGCTTCCCATACGCATACATCGCTGCGGGGCTTCCATGAACCGTAGTATTAATATTGATGGTCACACGACTCACGGATGGTCAGCAAAGTAGTGAAGAGCGTCACTCCGCCAACAGTGCAGAACGCGCTCAGGACTCCCCTCGCGGCTATCCAGCTGTGGGTGACGAGTGGCTTTAGCTGGGCATGACCAGCCAACTCAAGACTCACTCGTTAATGAACAACGTGATAACCAGCGAGAACACATTCTTGAAAAAAATAACCCTATTTCCCAATCAGCCCACCTCACCTCATCCCTCGCCATTTTCCCGTAAAACGAAATGAAACTCACCCGCCCATAGCACTCTCCGCGCTCCGCCGGTGCGCGTCCACCACATAGGCAATCGCCCCCGACGCACCCAGGGTGATCCCAAAGTTTGCGAGGCCGAAGAAGAATACCGGCCCGATCCAGGGGTCTTCAGTGTGAGCGGAGATGCCCCACCCGAAGAACGCCATCGACCCGAAGAGGGAGTAGAACGCAACGAGGGGGAGGCGGAATTCGGGCTTCGATGTCAGGTGGAAGAGGAAGGTGAAGATGAGCACCTTGAAGCGGAGAGCGGGGAAAGCAGACGCACCTCGAAGGTGCCCTTGTTCCACGCGCTCATGTGCCGCGCGAGCCAGTCCGCGAGCGGCCCCGAGATCAGGGCGGCCAGCATCGCGCCAATGAAGGGGCCCATGTAGGCTGCACAAGACCATCAGGCCCGAAAATCACTACTATACCACATCGAACAAGCTCAAATGCTCACTCAGACCCACTTGACTGGTGTCGAAGTTGTAGGCTGTTCCCGTACAGTTCGTTAGCGTGTCATTCGGAGCGGCAAGGCAAAACGCTACCAACGAGGGGCTGAGAACAGCTGCGACACGCTTGTGGCGAGGAGAACGAGCCAAGTGATAGCGACACCGTACACCTACCTTCTGTGAGTAACTGTCTGCTCTGGTCGTCGTGGCAGACTCACTAATCCCGCCCAGAGCACAATGGGTGTAGCGAGTGATTCTATAGGTCTCCATACCAGAGCCAGGAAGGACACCCGCGTTGGGTAGACGCCACTGAACACCGCCAGCTCTTGGATGTATGACTTCTTACGCGGAGCGTCAGATTCAGGTTCGGCGGATTCCAGCCTTACGGACGGCTCCTGCTTTTCGATGTCGACAGTTGCTTCTGAATCGGCCTTGGCTTCTTGAACGCTTTGGTTGTGGTTTACTGGGAGGTGCACGTTTATCACTTGCGACCTGTAATACGTCGTCTCGGGCATGCAGAAGAACTGCACATTATCAGCCCTTTGATTAGCAAGCCCATGCTGAATTTGTTGCTTGCTCAGTTATATTACTGACCTGCAAAAGAAAGAGAAGCCCGACGGCGACGGCGAAGATCTTGAAGGCCCAGCGCCACCCCAGGTGCTGTATGACCGCCCCAGAGATGGGTGGGGTGATGTTGATGCCGTCCAACAGCGCGAGGTTCCCTGCGATTGTACACCTCTGAGTGTTTTTTATGCGCATAGAGCACAGTATGTCTTACACAGGGCGACGGGGATACCACCTGATAATATTATCATACTTCACAATCAGCTTCGTCCGGCCCCCCGGGCGGCATGGAACTCACGTTCGTGGGTAAAGTAGATGTCGTTGATCGACGCCCCGACTAGGAACTATCAAGGTGATGAGGGTTCGGGGTTAGGCCCTCATACGTAGAATGACAGGTAGAGTACCTCCAGCACGGACTGGCCAACGCCTGAGTGCGGCAGAAGTTATATCAGCGACAGACCACAACATCATAGATGACCCGTTACCTTGTACAATCCTAGATCCCAGCAAAACCCCGCACGTATGTGCTATGCACAAGGCACGGTTCAGAATGAGTATGTCATCCACCAGACTCGAGTACATCTCGCACCGTATGCGGACATGATTGCACCAGCCATCATGATGAGAGCTGAGGCCAGAAAAACAGGACGCTATAGGTCGCATCATTGGCACATTCTCGCTAACCAGTACCGTGCCCTACCTTGCCGATCTTCACAGCCAAGGTTGACCATACCACAGTAGCGATGGCCAACGCAGCAGCCAATGAAGAGCCAAGCGCACGGCTAATCGCCTGGATAGACGTGTGGAACTCTACAGCGAGGTTTACTACGTCCGCAGAGACAAGGGGACCCTATACGACAATAAGATGCCTCTCTGACCAAGTTAGCCTTGATAGTCTATGCTCACGAGGGCACCACATATAACGGCTAGAGCAACGGGGTTAGAAAAAGGTCGATGATGATATCTTCCAGCTTACTTCCATATACGCTGGGAATGTACTTAATGTCCATAATATCACAAGGCCACAAACATGGTCAGACTTACAGGACGAAGAATACCTGACACATGAGAATCAGCAAAAACCACAAATATCTGTGAAGCTTGACAGGCTCACCATATGTTTCTTCCATTGAGGCCAGTTCAGAGGATCATTCGGGTCATCAGTGGGTTGAGGTACCAGCATGACGTGCGCGTTCCGCCCTTTCCCGTGCTTCAGTAGAGATAGGTCGACGCCTTCGTAGGCAGCCTGGGCGGCTGCATTCGGATCGTCACTGAAGATGGACGTCCCTACGAGGAACCGCAGGTGAGCCCCCAAGTTGGAGCACGACAACGTCAATGACTCGGCGTACCTGGAACATTTTCTAGATGCTTGTCTTCTAGGATGCCTAGCCCCATGGTTGCAGTGAGATGAAAGTGAAGGGGGGGGGACCAAGAAAGCCTCCCACATCTCGGGTGGTACGCACCCGCTTCTATCTGTATTTTAAGCTGGCATCCCTCCAGGCGAGTGGACTATTCCGTCCTGCTATACCAGTTGAAGCACCCTAGAAGTCAAGTGAAGCAGCAGAGAAGCGAGCACTGCGGCACTTGACTGCCTTCCTTTGGTGCGGAAAAACGGAATACGCGAATGGTACCCCACTGGGTGAGAACTTGAGATATGCCACTCCGACGTTCTCAATCACTTACTTCCAATACAAAGGTCTACGCTCCTCTCTCATCGCTGCTGTCCGGCCTGTTACGGTGGATGCAGGATGCTCCGGAGCTAAACAGACTCGGTCACTAAGACTGTACTGAAACCCTCGACCCGGCAAAAGATGTCAGGAATGGTGAATCAAAGGTAAGAAGGCCAGTATCCAGTCACCTGGTCATGATAGGAGATGTCACTTCACCTGACACGATCGAACTGAGGTAAGATAATTATCTTCGAGTGAGAAATAGTCTGGATGCCGTTGTCGATGGAGAGGTGAGGCCGTGTACCTGACCCTACCATTTCCGCATGCGCCCGGCAGACAGACAAGTCGAGACGTACGGTTCTATCTGCTCATCTTCGAGGTGTGGTGCCTTGACTCTGTCGAAAGAGGTACGATGCAAATCGCTATCCCCTGTGACAAGGCGAGGACCACGCCCATGGTCGCCTTATCGTGTATTGCGTATCCGTACGGCATATGGCTCTCTGGATTCCCGATACACAATAAGGGGTTGTTTGGGATGATTTGCAGACGCGACAGGAAACATCCAATTCCCAAGAATTAGAGCAGCGAACGGAACGCGGGACAAATGGCGACTCACTCAAGACGACGCTGATGCTGGATTCTCCGGCAAAAGCAACCAAGGAGAGGTGCATGTATCATCCACTCTGCACAGGGAGGGGAGTGAGTACTCACTGTATAGAAATCATCGAGAGGCGAGCGACTAAGATACTGTCTCGTGGAGGGTCCTAGGAAGACACTAGATTGCGAGCCAGATCGAATAGATGGACGTAGGATGCAGAAGGCATTGTTAAACGCAAAAAGAATACATTGTCGATCCTCCGGATAACCCACAGCGAACTCTATACAGTATACAGGTATTAGATTACGTAGTGCATCGTGAACATCATCAAGAAAAGTCATATCATGAACTCAACAGCAAGCGCCGGGAGCAACGTCCTGCGGATCCCTCACCCTAACACGCGCACCCTCCGTCCGCCTGCGTGCTGCCCTCTGCATTCAAGTCGATATTACCGGGCATACTGCCCCCGCCCGCCGCAGTCTCGTTCCGCTTGGCCTTAGCCCCCTTGTCCGCGACGGGCGCCCAGAGCTCGGGCGTGTCGATGATCTTCGTGACCACCTCCTGGAACGCCTCCTTCACGCCGACGGAGGTCTTCGCAGAGGCCTCGATGAACAGGGAGTTCATGCGTTGCGCGAACTGCTGGCCTTCTGTTGTGGAGACTTGGCGGGAGAATTCCTGCAGCACACAGGTTAGCGCTGGATCTATGGGAGAGGATGCAACTGGAACGCACCTTGTCGACTTTGTTCCCAACCAGGATCTTCACTACCGAGCTCGAGACATATTTCTCGAGCTCAGAGTACCACCTCGGTAGAGCATCGAACGATTCGCGGTTGGCGACGTCGTAGACTATGTTGTGTAGTGTCAGCGCTCCTGGACCTGCAGGTCTCAACACCCTGGCGCACCTAAAATGATCCCTTGTGCTCCGCGGTAGTACGAAGACGTTATCGTGCGGAAGCGTTCTTGCCCAGCAGTATCCTACGGTATAGCTCACCATTAACGAAAGCATCCAGAAGACGGAAACGAACGGTGCACGCACCCATATGCTTAGCTTCACCGACCTGCCGTTCACCTTCATCTTGTGCACCTATCCATACACTAAGAAACTCATCCAACCCTTTCAATACAACCGCGTATGCTCACCCGGAAGTCCACGCCAATGGTCGGGCTCGACTCGTCCTCTTGTAACCACTGCTCGTCCGAGAAACGCAATAGGAGACTGCTCTTCCCGACGGACGAGTTCCCAATCAACAGCAGCTTGACATTGATAGGTGCATTATCGGTTGGAGGCATTGTCGTAGTGGTAGCAGAAGTAACAACAGCGGACCAACGCCGCCTGGCAAACGCACTGAGCAGGCCTCAGGCGTGTGGCTCCCGCATGACATCACGCGTAATAGTGCCCTTATTGTAGACGCGCAACTGACAGCAAAAGGTCCACCCCTCCTTCAGACCTGCATTCATTATAAAACGTATATATTCCGGGGAGACGGGAATCATGAATGTTTACTAGTACAGATGAGCAAACAAGATAAAATGTACATCTAACGAAAGCAACATGAGATCCATAAATCAGGCCTAGTCCTCCAGGCACGCCTTAGGGACGGCATAGTCCTACGAAAGCACCAGTCAGCACAACATACCAGCAGCAAAGCCAGCATCACTCACATCAGTCCTGATTCCTCCGCCCCAAGGCGTACGGCCCTCAACGCGAGCATCAGGCCCCAGACCGCGCGACGAGAACCCCTTCCACAGCTCGCAGTAATTCTCCCCACCCGTCAACACCTGGTCCGCCTGAATGATCGCGTCCCGAGCGTCAAAGAACGACGGGCGGCATTGCTGGAGCTTCATCCCGTTCAGCACGAGCTGCACCATGAGCGAGTTCCCGTGCTTCGGCACGAGCGGCTTCTTCTCGCCCGCGGCGGTGTACTCCTGCGGGCGGTAAAAGTCGCCCGAGGGGATCGTGCCGTTGTCGAGCGGCGCGGGCGGGAAGAGGCTGTCGACGTAGCCGTGCTTCGCGATGAGCCGCTGCGAGACGACCCACAGGATCTCGGCCCAGACTTCGCCGATGGCGTGGACGCCCCAGTAGCCGGGCTTGTCGAGCGTCTTGTACGTCGACGGGTTGATCGTCTCGTTCTGTAACCCTGTCAGCTTCACAAGCCTTGGAAAGCGACACGCATGAGACTCACCAAAGAGTAGACGTAGTTCCTGATACCGTTCGGCCTGTTGGCGGCCCACGCACCCATGGCGTAATCCGAGTAGTTCTTGTTGCTCCTGATCGTAGTAGCCAAGAAGTCTCCCCATCCCTCACCCATTCCACCACTCTCGCCCCACCCAAGACATCCAGAGTTCGCCGGACCGCCCGTCAACCGCGTGCTCAGCCCGTGGCTCAGCTCGTGGATGACGATGCCCGCCTCGAGATCGCCATCTCTGTACGGCATCGCGGTGTTCCACAGGTACATCCTGCAGCGCCCGTTCTGCCCATCGGGCGGCGTCATGAAGTTCGCATTATTATACCCGCTCCCGTCCTGCGCGTTCGCAATCACCGCGTCGTTCTCCTCGCCGCCGCGCCCAAAGTTGTGCTGCTGGAAGTTGCCCGAGACCTCGTCGAACCCGTAGCGGTAGTACAGGTCGTGCACCATGTTCGACGTGTAGAACAGCTGCGTGACGGTTGCGTTGATGTACTTCTGCGCCTCCTCGAGCGCGTCGGTCGTGTTCGTCAACTTGGGCTCGTACGGGAAGTCGAAGTTCAGGCTCTCGCCGGCGTCGGGGCGGTAGTTGTACATCCACGCGTTGCGGCCCTCCCAGTCCTCGTGCGCGAAGACGTTGTTGCCCCAAGTCGTGGTCGTGTTCTTGACCGCCTTCGACGCGCGCTTGAAGTCGTCCTCGGTCGGGTCGTTGGCGTAGGGCAGGCCGTGCCAGCCGAATGGACTAGCAATGACATCGTAGGTCTCTTTCTGGATGGACCGGTTGCCGACGGAAGGGTCGTTGATACCCCAAGCGAAAACGTTGTACGTGGCGAGCTTCCTCTCAGTGGGTTCCTTGGGTACCGGGGCAAGAGGGGAGTCCGACGCCCAATCGACAACGGAGACGATGCGGTGAGGGGCCTTGGCGGAGACAGCAGCCTCATACCAATTGTCCTTCATCTCGACTTCGAACTACACGCAGGGTTCATAAACATCACCGACCAAGGTTATGGGCGATAATCACTTACCTTCCAGACGAGGTCCAGCGTAGTCTTGTCACCGTGGGGCACCTGGACGTAGGCAAGCTTGGCCTTGACCGGGCTCACCGCATCCGGAACGTTATCGATAACCTCAACCATAGTCTGCATGTCCCCAACCAGATGCGCCTCAAAAGTCGACTTCATGCCCTCCAGGTACTCATCATACTTGGCCAAGATATCCTGGACGACACCCTCCTCGGGGGTCGCGGCGACCATAAACTGCAGCAGCGCATGGCGCGGGTCCTCGAGCGCCGCCGCGGTGCTCTTGTGCGCGAGGTCGTACGGCAAGTTCACGAACGCGCAGTTCATGCTGTGGATGCGCTTGAGCGGCTCGTGCAGCGCTTCGTTGAACCGGCGGCGCACGAGCTGCACCTGCTCGCCCTGCCCGGCCGCGCCGAGCCACTGCTCGAAGCGGTCCTGCTGGCTCTCGAGCTCGTACTCGAGCTCGGTGCAGTAGTCGGCGTGCGGGTGGGGCACGACCGCGCTGGAGTAGAAGCTCGGGGCGGGGCCGCGGTAGAACTACGAACCGCCGTCAGCACAGGCGCCCCCGCTCCGCATTGAAGGAAAGGCACTCACCGAGTCACCGTAGGAGAACACCTGGCCGTCCTTGACGTTCACGTTGATATCCCCGTCTGCCACCTCGATCCCGTTCACGACTTGGCGGATGTAGACGTGCGTGACGCCGGTCGCCTTGTCCGTGTACGAGTCCTTCCTGACCACGAACCCGCTCTCCGCGCGCAGCTGGTCGCGCAGGAGGCCCCCCACAAAGTGCTTCGCCACCTCCACGGGATCGCGCAGCGGCGCGGGCGCAAAGCCCGGCAGCGGCTGCTGCGGCACCTGCCTGAACACCGCGTGCGGGTGCACAGGCCCGAAGCCGAGCGTCTTGCGGCGCCTGACGGGCCCCTCGTCGTCAGCGCCGTAGCTCACCGCGGGGTGCGCGAGCACACGACCCGCGAGGGTCGCCACGGCCAGCGAGGCCGCCAAGATGCAGCGCATGTCGATGCTAAACCGGGAAGATTATTAAGAAGGAACGGACTGGGGCAGGACTGGAGACGGGCCCTGGCCTGCAGACGTGGTGGTGGTGTAGAGAGGACGGAGGCGTGCGTACCTCTCTATCGTTGGCGCCCCGCGCCCGCACGCCTTTATCAGGCCCGGCACGCGCCGGCCGTGGATTACCATATTCCGGTCATCAGGGTCGCACGGCCCCGGTTATCGCTTCAGAACGGGGGGAGACACAGCTTTGCACGGGTAGCCATGGCTATTCGGGGGGAGGGGACGTGATATTATTGGACGTAAGATACATGCAAGACATGAGCGCGCTGATGAATGTGATGGGAAGTGGTACGATGGGGAAATGCTGCGACTTGCAAGGGTCCCTCTGGCCTGCATGCGCCGTATATGACCGTCTCAGCTCTTGCGGCTGCAGGACGACCACGCTCCTGCTCCTCGGCCACGCTTTTGGGGTATCTCCGCAGACGGATTGCATGACATGTGCGTTATTGACAGCGGGCGATCCGCATTCTCCGAAAGGAAGGGACGACGATGAGGGAGACCTCCATGCCGACGGGTCTCTGATAGACATACTGTACTTATCAGAGCCAGAGGACTCGATTCCGCGGCGTCGGACCCAATCCAGTCCGGCCTTGGTTGGCGAAAGTGCCCTGGTATCACTCGCCATGCCATGGGGAGGACACAAAAGCGCTCTTCGCGGTTCCATGCTCCTTGCGCGTCCGGAGCCACGAGCCACCAGCAACCCATGGAAAGAGCCATGGTGAAAAGAGCTTCGAGCCGCGGCCTCCGTATCACCCAGACCGGTAGAAGAACATCGCGCTGGGACTGCGAAAGCACTCCAGCACGTTCGCAGTTCCAGAGCGACGTGCTCGGAGCCATGAGCCACAGCGAAGAAAGGTTGCGGAATCCGTACGGCGAAAGCGCTCGTACATCACTCACATGCCCAAGCCACAATCTCCAAGCCCCATCCCGAGCCACGAGACGCAGCAGGCTCCCCGAGCCGAAGAACAAGAAGGCAGAGGAGCACAGACCGGCGCGCGCGCCGCGACCCGTCCTCGCACGGCTGCGTGCGCCAATTTACCATTCGCACAGAAATCATCCGGGGAGACAGAGACCGCTGATTCACATTCTCAGCAGTAAACCGACCAGGACGGCGGCAGAAAAGAGGGCGCGGAGGTATCGTATCTTCCGGCAGCAGAGGAACGCAGGCGGGTATCATTATATTATAGCGGGCGGGAAACCCTGGGCAATCCTGGGCCCGACAATGCAGCACCTGCCACCTAGGCTGCACATCTCCCGCGAACGGAAATCGCCGTCAACGCGTAGCCATCCACACGAGTCTTGACCGATGCGCCTGCGTGGATATCGACGAGATCTCCAGTGCATGCCAGGAGGCGCGATACATAGAACGCTAGGCAGGCAGACTGGGTCCTGGGTCCGACACGACGGGACGGGTTGGGCCGACGCGAATCGAGTGGACACTTTGCGTGGGGGGTTGGACGACTCCCGGCCTGCCGCGATGCCCAAGGACGGGTGCGTCGAGCGCCGGGTAGATGGACAGTATGCCGGGTGGAGCGCGCCAGACCGAGGCCTCTGGGTGGTATCTGGCCTTCAGGCCGCGAAGGTCCCTGACGCGCCAGCCAGAGACGACGTTTCCTCGGCGCAGACGCACCGATGCGCGTATACTACCGACCAGCCAGACGCGATTAAATGTCACCAAGTAGAATCCCTCGCCGCGCCCGTAGTCGCAAAGGAAGATCGGGGGTACCGCCTCGGGATAGATACCAGGCACGAGATCCCTCGGCCTGACACACCCGGAGCAGCCCCGTGTCTGGCCTTCACCGAGTAGCATAGAGCGCACCCAAGGACCCATGATCCCGAGTGAATGAAAGCTCGCATATGACCGCGCACCTGCGTGTTCGTCCTGATGCCCGCGATCGCGTTAGAGGTGATGCTGGTGCTTCGGGTTCTTCACGACTGAGCACTCTTGAATGCGGTTACGAGAGGAGTGGGCACTTGACGGGCGAAAAACGTCAAGGGGGGCTTGTGGCAACGCCATTCTGACGAGCGCGCGCAGAAGAGGCACCGCGGGATCGCGAGCACGGTGGTAGAGACGTAAGATGCACTGGCACAGAGCAGATTGTATAGCGAAAGCAAGGGTTACAAGCAAATTTCTGGCAAGGTACATCGCGGGAACAAGCGCCGGTGTTATCGCCGGCGGCGCGACACAGGGGCGTACGCCGCGTATGATCATCGCGGCTAATTTCATAGCAGGAAGGATGCGGACGAACATATCTGTGGTCGGATTCTATGAAAATGCAGGGAGATAACAGCAGCACCCGACCGAACCGCCGTCCCTCGCACACGCGCTCGCTGCTCGGGCTGAGGATGCACGGCGCGATGAGCGTGGACGCGACGCGGAGCGAGGCCGTCAACGTGAATGTCGAGGGTGGGGCGACGCAGCACAACGGGTCGCCGTTGACGAGGGCCGGGTGCGTCGTTGCCTCGTGTGTGGACGCCGCACTCACCTTTGCACACAGGCTCCTGCAGCCGCGCAGCTATGCGTCCGCCTCCTCGCGGCGCGGCATCCCGCACTCGCAGGACGACATCCGCGCGAGCACGATGCTCCTCTCCCACATGCGCGCCCCGCCCTCGCCCGCCCTCTCCGCCCTCTCCTCCCCGCCCGCGCCCCCTCCATCCCACACCACGGACGCCTTCATCTTCCCCACCCCCGCCGCCGCCGCCGAGCCCTCCTCCGTGCCCTCCTTCGCCCCCTCCTCCGTCAGCAGCGCCGACCTCACCGCCTCCACCGCCGCCACCCCGCGCGAGCGCCGCACCACCCTCACGCCGAGCGGGCTCACCCTCCTCCTCGCCCGCCACTCCTCCGAGCACCTCGTCGCCGAGTCCGAATCCGACACGCCCACGCCCACGCCCAACCCGGTCGACCTCGGCCCCCCACCCCAGCCGCCGACGATGGACAAGATCGCCGAGGAGCAGGAGCCGCAGCCGGGGCCGGGGCCGGGGCAGCGGGAGGACAGCCCGAGCCGCTTCGCCACCGAGTCCTCGCCGCTCCTGCTCCAACGCGACCCAACCCCCTCCCACCACGCCGCGAACGGATCTGCGCGCCCCGCGAAATGGACGCAGGCGGCGACCCTGCGGGCACCGCGCCTCGCCCGGGACGCGGTGCGCGCCCTCCCCGCCGTGCTGCTCGGGACGCTTCTGAACATCCTCGACGGCGTGTCCTGTGAGTGCCTTTCGTTCCTTGTGCATGTCTGCGTGCTGAACGCGAACGCGGGCAGACGGGATGATCATATTCCCCGCGGCGGGCGTCTTCGCGGACCTCGGGCCCATGGGCGTGTCCATGTTCTTCGTCTCGTGCGTCCCCCCCTCTCTCTCTCTTCGCGCCTTGCACGAGCCCGTGAGTTGATGCTTGGTATGAAGGGCGGTGGTCGCGCAGCTGACGTACTCCTGCGGCGGGAGCGGCTTCGCGGGCGCGAACGGGAGCATGATGATCGAAGTCGTCGTACGTCTTGTTTCCTCCGCTTTCCTCCTCTTCCCTCCACTTTGCTCTACACCTCGTCCCTCCCTTCCCTTCCCCCGCCCACCTCCCTCTCCACCTCCCTCCTCTAACGTAACGTAACCTAACGTAACCCGCCCGCGCCCCCCCAGCCCTTCTTCCACATCCTCGCGACCTCCATCGCGCGCGAGCTCGGCGAGGACCACCCGCGCGAGATCATCGCGACCACCCTCGTCGCCTTCGCGTTCTCGTCCGTCCTCACAGGTGCGCAGGCCCCCATCCCACTGCCTCCAACTCTCTCACACACACTCTCTCCCGCAGGCCTGACGTTCTTCCTCCTCGGCGCGCTCCGCCTGGGCATCCTCATCGGCTTCTTCCCGCGGCACATCCTCGTCGGGTACGCACCCTCTCTGCGCACCCCCGCGCGCCCGTAATCTAACGTGACCCCCACGCGCTGCAGGTGCATCGGCGGCGTCGGCGTCTTCCTCATCATCACCGGGTGCGCATATACACATCACACTCGCTCCCGCCGCACTCGCTCACTCACGCTCACACTCACCCACTCACCCCCCCCGTACACGCAGCCTAACCGTGAGCACGCGCATGCCCGACGACGACTTCGCCCTCTCCCTCCCCGTGCTCAGGCACCTCTTCCTCAACGCCGCGCTCTGGGCGCCCGCCCTCGCCCTCGCGGTCCTCCTCCGCGTCGTCACCCACCGCTTCCGCCACCAGCTCGTCTTCCCGCTCTGTACGCCCTCTTCTCCGCATCCCGTTCACCCGATCGATCACGTAACTGACGCACGGCTGCACGGCTGCACGGTGCAGATTTCATCGCGATACCCGCCGTCTTCTACGTCGTGGTCGCCGCCGCGCGGCTCGACCTGCCGGCGCTCAGAAGGAGCGGGTGGCTCTTCGACGTCGCCGCGTCGCGCGAGCCGTGGTGGCAGTTCTACACTTACTACGGTGCGCCGCCGTCCCCCCCTCCCCCCCCCACCGCGTGCTCACCGCCCCGCAGACCCGCGCGCGACGCGGCTCGCGCCGCTCGTCTCGACGCTCCCGACGCAGCTCGCGCTGTGAGTGGTTCTGTTCCGGTGGAATGGGTGGCACATGGCTCACGGGGACGCCGCCCGCGCCGCAGGCTGTTCTTCAATATCCTCCACCCGCCGCTGAACGTCCCCGCGCTAGGTATGCTATCAAGGCCTCTCACCTCCGCGCGGGGCGTGTGCGCTGAGCGCTGCCGTGTTAGCTGTGTCTCTAGATATAGATGTGGACACGAACAAGGAGCTCGTGGGGCACGGCTACTCGAACCTCCTCGCGGGGTTCTTGGGTACGGTGTGAGTCCTCCCTTGCGCTTGTGCGGTGCGGTGAGCCGGGAATGCTGATGGGAATGCAGGCCGAATTATCTCGTGTACGTGAACACGCTCTTGTGAGTGCGCCTATCCTGTCCCGCGCGGGGTGGGGGATTGGATGACCGGTCGTGCAGGTTTTACCGCGTCCGCGGCGACACGCGCGTCTCGGGCTTCCTCCTGGCGGGCGCGACGGTCGTGCTGCTCCTCATCGGCACCGGGCCGCTGGCGTACATCCGTAAGCCCTTCCCTTCCCTCCCTCTCGCCTAGTCGCATTGTATGTCTGACGACCCCCCCCTTTGACCGACTAGCGGTGATGGTCGTCAGCGCGCTCATATTCGTCCTGGGCATCGACCTGGTGAAGGAGGCCGTGTGGGACACGAGGCACCGCGTCAGCCGGTGCGTCCAGTCTTGATTCCCCACCCGCCATAGCTCATTTGCGATACAGGTTCGAGTATATCACCATTATCAGTATCATGGTCGTGATGACCGTCTGGGACTTTGTCATGGGCGTGCTCTTCGGCATCGTCGTCAGCTGTGGGGAGTTTCGTTGTACCTTGGGACCGAGACTCACGGGGTGATGTCTAGGTTTCTTCTTCGTGCTGCAGAACTCGCAGCGGCGCAGCATCCGCTCGCTGCACACGGGCGAGACTGTCATGTCCACCGTACGCAGGCCGAGCGCGCACCGCGCATACATCCGCGAAGTGTCCAAGCAGACGACGATCCTGCGGATGCAAGGTGCGCCGTGTCGACATAGTTATCTACGGCCGTGTTCGTGTTCTGAGCTTTCTCGGTCTGCAGGGTTCCTGTTCTTCGGGACGATCGCGCACGTCGAGGAGACCATCCGCGACCTCGTCGACGGCCCGCGCTGGGCGCGCACGCCCGTCCGCTTCCTCGTGCTCGACTTCACGCTCGTCGCGGGCGTGGACATGTCCGCCGCGGAGGCCTTCATGCGCATCCAGCGCCTGCTGCACGCGAAGCAGATCGTGCTCGTGCTGTGCGGGTTCACGACGGAGTCGCCCGTGGGCAGGTCGTTGCGGAACGTGGGGCTGCTCCAGGAGAGCGGGGTGGAGGCGTTCTCGACGTTGAATGATGCATTGGAATGTAGGGGTTTTCCTTACGAGTATCTGCGTACTGTCTCGCTGACCTGTTTTGGTAGGGATGGAAAATGCGTATCTAAGGACTTGGTTTTCGGCACAGAAAGAGGAAAGGGACCCGATTGGTATGTTGATGGGTTGTGCTCTCATCCCAGGTGCTGACTCTCCAATGTAGCTTTACCTGGCCGTCAGGACGTCGACCTGGGCTTCCATCACTCACTGTCAAGTTCACCTAGACGGTCACAACTAGCGGATATCGGGAACCGCACTATTGCACGAGGTTTGATAGGGTTTCGTCGACGAGACTGATTAGCACTGATCCCTCGATACAGATCATTCTATCGACAGTCGTCCCACTCAGCAAGAACCATACGATACCCTTGTAAAAGCCTTTGCGTCATACGGCGACGTGGACAAGGAACTCTTCTCAAAGCTAGTGCCATACCTGGAGCGCCTGCCGGTCCCGGAAGGACACGTCTTATTCCAGCAAGGCGACGAACCCGACGGACTGTATATCATCGAAGCTGGCATTCTGCGAGCGACGTACAAGTTCACCGACTTTACTCTAATCGAGGAATCGATGGTGCCCGGGACCCTTGCAGGAGAGTTGTCCGCCCTCTCAGGCGAAACCCGTAACGCCACGGTCGTAGTCGAACGACAAGCAATTTTATGGCGGCTAAGCACCGAAAACCTGCAGCGTCTGGAAGTTGAGAATCCTCATTTGGCTAGTAGCTTCACGAAGCTCGTTCTCAAGGGTGAGACCTTCCAGGCCTCGGCATTAACGCGATACTGAGATGTGTCTGCAGCTGCGAAAACAGACTATGATATCCTCCTAGCTTCGCTGGCCGCGCGACAATAGATGGCAACCATGCTTGGGCTACACCGCTATACTATTCATGAATGTATGGATATCTTATACAGGGGGTGTCCATGACACGATGACGTGACGATATTAGAACGTACATACACATAGATACTAATCAGCAAACAGAACAAACGCAGAACGCACAAAACAATAGAGATTTGTATGAGTCCATCACGCGTACGGCGGCCCATGTTGCAAACCACATTCAACAGAAGACAAGTCCATGCGTTGCATCTCACGGAAGATTTGCTGGTAGCGCAGGGCCCACCATCCCCGTCCTTCGCGTTCTACATTGTCCAGAGAAACGCCTTGCAAGGAGGGAAATTCTTGGAGCTGTATCGATGGACTTTTTGGAATTGGGAGCCCCGAGGCTAGGATCGACAGGACAGCTTGCCGTGTGTCGGTCTCCAGATCCACGCTAGACCCGTGACCCAGGTACTTGCCAGAGTGACTGGGGAATGAGAAGGAGCGCAAAGTATGCCTGGAAGATTGACGAAGAGAGCTGAGCCATCGCTTTTGCCGGTCAATCGAGTATTGCTTCTCCGGTAAAGCCAGACAAAGTGTAAGCACAGATGTGTCGTCCGAGATCTCGCCTGTTTCTAGCTGTTTGACGTCCACAGTGAGTAAATCAAGCGTGATATTCCCATTGTCATCTGGTGTAAGACGGGCGTTCAGTAGCTGATCCTAGGACGGGAGATTAACCCTACCGGTGGGGTTGACTACATCGAGTATTCTTGTCACCCCTACGTCAGGGAGCAATAGCCAATGATTCACCGTCCCGGGAGGGTCCAAGAGATTCCGGTCGCCCGCAGTTTTCGCCAAGACCAGCAAGTCAGTGAAGACGAGCGCTAGAACAGTATCAGAGCCCTCGAGCTTGTTATGCCTCGCCTCGCCTGAGTCTTTAGAATACGCCATGTCTTTCTTCTCTTGATCACCACTGTTTCTGGCCTTCGCCGGAGACGGAGAGAACAAAGTGTGCGACTCCGAATAGCTGCCTGACGAACTCACAGGAGCAGTCAATCCAGAAGAGATGGAGTCCCGAGAGCCGAAAGACACCATAGAGGAAGCAGCCGAGTCCACAGATCGCGAGCGCGAACGTCTTCTATCCCATTCTAGCACAGCGTTGCCCAGGCGTGACTGTCGTAGGGAGGCATCCCTTGGTGGCTTAGCACCAGCGTCAGCAGTGATATGGTTGACGCTCAGGTCATCTGGTGGCCTAACCCCAATATCCCCACAAGAGTTGATATCGTGTCGTTGAACCACAACCAACGAACCATGGGCAAGCAACCTGCGTTCTCGTTTGACCAGCGACGTGCCCGAAGGAATCCCGTCAATTTGCGCAAGTAGAGCTTTGACTTGGCAGTACTCGTCTTCTCTGGCCTTCACCTCCAACATAACCTGGATGATCATCTGGATAGAGTTATAAAGCGAAAAGGCAGGTAAGTAGTCCGAGTGGCCTTTCGGAGTCGCTTGGAGCAGTCGCTAAAATGTATGATCAGCCGTTGATAATATATCCTTACCTGCACGCCCGCACCTGAAAATCCCCGATGTAAGTATGCAGGCGTTCTCTAGGCTTGAATATCGTCTTCTTGAAAGAGGAAGTACTGAGCCCAGCATGTTTACGCTGCATGCGAATGAATACGCCAAAATCATTTCCCCTATCGTGGGCCATTCTATCTATGAGAGAGACGGCTGATTCAACTTGAGCTAGGTACGGTTGGTAAATCTCCAATTTCGGCACAAACCGAAGGATTGTCTGGCACATTCTTTGCAAACCATTGCTCCTACTCTCTTCGAGCGACCGTAGGATACCCAAGAACTGGGTATGCAGATTGACGATATCTTCAAACCAGTCGAAAAATGGAGCAACTTCGGTTGGCACGCCCTGCACCCAAGACCTACTACTGTGATTCCGAAGTGGTTGAACGAAGAATGTCACTATCGGGCGGACAAGGTCGAGGAAAGCCTCCTCCGAGTTCCGTAAGTCGCTGAGGATAACCTCGCGACGAATGTCTACTTCATCGCCTGGTCTATAAAAGTCAACCTGGATAGCGGGAAGTTATGAAATCACACCTGTACAATAATATCCGAGGAAACCGGTCGGCGCACCTTACTCACGTCTGCTTGATCAGCAGACTGCCTCGTCTCAACTCTCGCAGATGACTGGATGCGGACGTTACAAGCGGACGAGCGATGCCCGGTCGAGGCACTCCTTGGTCTCCCGGATTCAGACCGCGACTGATTCCTAACATGCTGTAGTCGATGGAACAATGCCTCAGCGCCATGACTGAAACCATTACTCTGTTCTCGCCAACGATGATCCTCCCCAACCGAAGAACTGTAGCTATCCGACTTGGTGATCTCAGTAGATACATGCCGGAACTCGTGTTCCCTGCGACTATTTCTGCGAGCCTCCGTCAGTTCCTGACCCATGTTTGAAGCCGTGCGGGAACGAGTATGGATCCCCTCGGGTGTGATCGTAGGATCCTCCTTGGCCACGAAGCCTGAGTATCGCCCGGATGGACTACTAGCAGCTACGCTATGTCGGTATGCAGATGGCCTTGGGGAATGCTTAGGCGTAGTGGATCCAGGGCCACCAGCTCTACCGGAAGCTCCTGGTGAACTTAGACCTCTGGGCTCCTGCTCAACAGGACGATACACAGGCTCCTCAGGCCTTGCTGGTCGCTTCGGGGCAGTGGGCATAGAAAGTGGCCGTAAGGGACGCGAGGGCTTGACCGTATTGGTGCGCACGAGACCTGCTGGACGACCAGAGGCGTCATCGTGGACTGGCTGTGTCCCTGGACGATTACTTCTGGGCGTTGACCACGGAGGGCGCTCTTCTTCGACAAGTGAGCCCGCAGTATGGTCACAGGAAGGCGGTTCTTCCTCATCAGAATAGTCGGAATTAGAAACGTTATCATCTCCGCTATCGTCGAGTTTGTTCATGATCGTTTCCCTAAGGCCTTCTTCGTCGGACGAGATAGAGTGCCCTAGGGGCGGCGCAAATCCCTCGGATCCGCTGAGTGCGATCCCGCCATGCCAGCTACCGGATGTTCCACTAGCACTCGCACTCTGCAACATAGCGTTCCCGAGACCAGCCAGAGTTCCAGCAGACGTGAGGCCATCCACCATGTTCACCAGTTCTGCTTGACGCTTCCGGCGGAGTTCCTCGTCGTCGTCAGTAACCCCATCGTCGCGGCGATGTTCTTCTGGATCATCTTCGTAGACACTCAAATCGTCTTCGTCCTCCGTATGGTCCTGGGCTTGGCGGGAATACCATTCGGAATTGCCTTTGTCTTGCGCCATCCTGTCATCGCTGCGTCGCACGTTCCCAATTTCTATGCCCAGTCCAATAGGGAGTCGCCGCGGAGATCTCGAAACATCGTCAGCTTGCTTGCGAGACGACCAAGCAGCTTTCCGCGCGGAGAAAACAGGAAGCCGAGACGCTCCATTCGACTTCTTACTGGACGATGACTTTTCGCCTTCGCTCTCGCTAGAGGAAGGCATGACATTCGCGTTGGCTACAATGAGCACTCTGCTATTCCTGCAGTCCGCATCGTACTCCATTTCCGAAGACGAGGACGAGACGACGGTTGTCTTCTCCCCGATAAGATTTAGTCGGCGCTTGTCAGTGGGCAAGGGTGGTTCTGCGAGGCGACGAGGCAAGTGGGAATTCAGAGCTCCCACGTACATCCGCGAGGATGACCGCTGGCGGGTAGGACTGTCCACGGCAGATGAGGGTAACCCCCGAGAGCGGGAACCCGGTTCCGACGCTTGTGCAGACGGGTTCTCGGCCTGCAGGTCAAACAGTTAGAGGTGGAATTCTCGCGTAACACGCTGTCCCCTACCTCAGCCAAAGCGTCGCGGAGAGGACCAAGGTTCCCGATTGAATGGGGGCTTGCAGAACTAAAGACGGGATCGACAGTTTGCCTAGTACGAGTAACTATGCTTCGCGCTGATCGAAGAGACTTAGTGGTAGGGGTTTCAGCAGTACCTTTGAACGGCGAAGCAGGAGTAACAGGCGAATTCAGAGCCAAGGAGCGAAGATCCGGCGTTGACTTCAGAATCGACCTATGTGTAGACTTAGGCGTTAGCCCGGAAGATACAGCTCCATCGCGAGGAGTCCTTGGGACCCTAGGCGTCATAGACGGAGACGAGATGTTTTGGGGGGTCTTCGGAACGGAAGGCGACCTAACATCGGCGCGTTCCGCGGGTGGATGGTGATTTCTAGCTGGTGTACCCGGCGTCCGTGGTGATACTACAGACGCTGGGCGGGGAGAAGCAGGTGCAGCGGGGTGTGTCATCCTATCAATCGTATCTCGAAGAGACGGTAGCAACTGCGCCTCTAAGCTCTCCAGTTGCGTCTGTCGCCTATGGGAACGGTCGCTGTTCCCACTGGAGGAAGACTGAAACGACTTCTTACTTGAGATGCTACTGCGACGATTGCCAGTGCCAGTGAAGCCTCGTGTGCCCGAGTCCGAGGAAGAGTCATACGGATAGTCCACCGCAATCTGAGCACCCTGAGCTGAAGTATCTTGAGTACCATATTCGCGCGGAAGAGAGTGCTCCGGATGCCCTTGCAGACCAGCAGCAGCGGCATAGTAAGACGGCGGGAAAAAACGAGGTTGTCTCTGCTCGTTGAAAGCAGGAGAAGGGGGTGCCGGGCTCCTGGATTTCGACCTAGTACTCTTCCCCTTCATAAGAGACATCATAAAAGCATATACAAGAACTGATATAAGAGAAATACGCGCGTCGTACGCGAAAAGTTGAAGCCTTGACTGGAGAGAGATTACCGGAAAAAGAGACACCCTTTCACGCTTTCAACTCCGCGACCGCTTTTGGTTCTCAGACCCGTCCCCAGTTTGCGGCTTGCTTGCCACATGTACAATTGCAAGAGCAAGTTTATTCTGCCGAGAACTCATACCACAACATCGACCTATCTCTGGACGTATTGATAGCCTTTTCAACGATGAAACCTTTCTTCCCGATCAAACGAAAAGCGAGAGCGAGACACATAACTATACAGCGGTCTGGCTTCATAGACCCAGGTCTCCCAGAGTTCTCTTTCCACCGTCTATCTCGTTTAGATTTGCTAGCCTCTGAGCTTCGTTTAAGTTAGCAATCGATCTAGGTGCGGGTTGTGTGTCGTCCCGCCGCATCTCCTGCCACATGATCTCTGCTGCCATCTCTACGTATACATTCGCTGTCCGTCAAACTAGCAGGAAATATGCCGTGTACGCTAGGCTTACCATTGCTCACAGGTACGTTAGCTCGTGTATCCACGGCCGAAAGGGCCTCTGCCGCTAGAGACCCTTTCGGCGGATGGTATCCCAAGCTAGTAGACATCCACATCAATCCCTCGGCAGCGTCCTCGTACTCATGGTGAAGACTTACATCTGCTCCTCTTGCGACTGCACCAGTTCTGCTTCTGGCTCAGTGATCGTATTCAAGTTGATGCCTCCAGGAGCCACCGCAGCCCCTCCCCCGCTGTGTGGTGCTTGGTATTCTTAACGCCAAAGGGAGCTCAAAGTCGGATCACTCACGCAACCCGAGCGGCATCCTCTAAAGCAGCTTGTCTTAGCTCCTCAGGCCCAGGAGGGAAGAACCCTCCCCGTGGGTGTTTGGATGCTTCTACAGCCGCTCTATCAGCCAGAGATCCTAGAGGTGGCTGCTGACCAAGAGCCCTTCGTTCCGCGGACATGAGTAGGTCTGCGTCTAGGCCAGTTTCATCACGCTGCTGCTACGGTATATGACGGAGACAGCGTACCCTCTCCAACTTCGTTCAAATTGTTACCGGCAGGTATGTCTTCTGCCAATCCCTGTGCAGCGCTACCAGCTCGGAGTGGTTGTTGTCACTCTCCTCCCCCAATCGTTCTTTCGGTTTCAACGCGGGCTGCGATTCATGCAGAGCAGCTTCAGTGAGGTATGATGCGTTCGACGATGTCATGCAGGCGAGTGCGAGTTTCGATACTTCGACAGGTCAGGTCTGACAGGTAGGGTTTGCCAAGTAAGACCATAATTATGTTGGCAAGGCCTAACACCACGGCTTGAGTGCATTTGCCACTGCCTGAGGGTGAGTATACGATCATAGGCAGCGTCAATATGATGACGATCGAGCACTGGCCCATTGCCTCCATGACACAATGTTACGATCATGAGACTCGGAAGTAAATGTCACCTCTCCCGGCTCTCCGTCTTGTCTCCGTCGATGCGTCTTTCAACGGCATCAAATAAACCTTAGTAAAGGGATTTCATGAGCACCTTGATATCCCGGTAGTATTACAAACTCTTTCAAAGCGAGTTACATCTAGGCAGATTCACTACCCTATGTTTTGTCTCCGGGGTCCCCAGAGATTTTGAAGTGAGTGTCAAAATATTTTTTTCTGACATCTCTTGGGCAGATTACGCAAAATTTCCTCATACAATCCCGTACAGTCTCACACAACCAAATAAGCGGCCAGCCCGTCCGGCTCTCTGACTAACCATGATGACGGCCCGAGCGTTCGCGCATTGCAGGCCATGGCAGAGGGAAGTCCCCGTGATCACGTTGTTCGGTTCGCCAAGGAGACTATAGTAGGTCGTCCCCATCTCGGAATCTGGCAGGTCTGTAATCTAGAGGAGGACTTACGGTGTTTACATGGTATGCAATTCAGCTGATGCGCGTGAGAACTGCCTTGGGGTATGAATAGAACGGCGACCAGACCTCGCCCAGATGTCACCTTACTACTGAATCTCCTCGCGCTCGAAGGTGGGCACAAACCCGATCGCAGCGGTTTCACGTCTCAGACCCAACAACGTAGGCTGGGCATGATTTGACCATTCACCTCGACTGCAGATTTGTCATATGTATGATGGTCGGATCTACTTAGTACCTGCAAAGTTTCTTGCAGATTATATATACTGCACTAATGAGTTTCACGCCAATCCACCCAGTCGCTCGACATCATGACCGGCGAAACCAAGGACAACCTCTTCGTGGCCGTCCGGGCGGCACCCACTCCTTTGTGTCCTACGCGATGGCCTGGCGCCGATCATGAAGCGGAAACAACGCTCCTGCGGACACTGAAGGATAACAGGGAGAAGTGGCACGTCTATTTTAATGACAAGCGGTTCCACAAGTAAGTGCGGTTGCGGTGCTGTATGATCAAGTTGGTAACATCTTGTCAGCCATGCCACTCATCATGTCCTCGCCATTTACGCACTCGGGGCTCCAGGCCCTCTCATCCAGGCGGCGTACGACAGTAATGCGGCCTATCAGCGCCCGGCTTTCAAGTCACCCGACCCAATTACTGTAAACAATTTCGTAGACCATTTAGGCGACGATACGTGAGTATAACAGATCCTGTGCCATCAACCATGTTTCGAATTAAGTGCATCCTAGTTATTATAACGCGTATCTCGAGTTCTTTACGGACGTCCTACTGGACAAGGGTATTTCCGCTACGCTCGATGAATTCATTCTCTCACCGCGCTACAACTACCGTCCGGAGATTGAAGAACAGGAGAAACAGCCGCGCATGCTCAGCAGGTTCCTGTCAGGATTACTTCACCCGTTCATTCACACCGGATACGGCGTTGAGTTTGATCTTATTAACCAAACAGCTGAAGGTTCGCGAGCCTGTCATTACCTCTTAATTCCGCTGGTAACCCTCCCACAGGTCTCGCACAAGCAGCGATCCATGGTGCGCAGTGTGATCCTGCTGCACCGCAGTCCCGTTTCAGCGCTGCGTCGAACGGACTGGTGTCCAACGGAGTGTCTCGTCTGACATCCGCATTGCCTTCCCTTTTGCTCAATGGCAATGGGAGCGTGAACGGAAAGACCGCACAGACGCTGGGCGAAAGTGCCTTCACGATCATTTCCCGTCTACTCGCGGACCCGGTTACCCATCTGGATGCTGGGGGACCTATTGAGGTCGAAGGGAAAACTCCACAGGAGCTCGAGCATATCACAATTCCACTCATCATGAAGGCCTTTACGCAGGCCGGTGATACTGTTAGGAAGGCTGCCGATGAGTGGTTGCCAGTTGAAGGACCGGAACCCAGCGAGGACATCCTGAACCATAAAATGGAAGAGATGATCTGGGCGAATGTTGCTTTCTACGCCATCTGTGGGTGGAAGAAAGACGAGCCATTCAACGCGGATTTCTTTATGTACGCTGTTTCGTCTTTCACGGATTCGGTCCTTCACGCTCACTGGCTGCTTTTTCAGGATGCACCTCGTCACCTCTGCACTCTTTCTTCCTAGCTTTCTCGCACCCTCTGTCCTACCAATGAAGTCTAGAAGGCTGCTCCTCAACGCTTACTTCAGCGTATCCTTGCTTGCATGGATAGGCCGAGGCACACCTGGACTAGCCGTCCGCGACTTCTTTTCCGGTACAGACAAGCATATGGTCCCACCCGGACCCAAATTCGAGCCCCACGCGGAGGCGCTGCCACGCAATGATCCGAAGTTGCAGAACACCGCGAATGTGTGGCTCCCGATCCTGCAGGCCACGCTCATCCATCCTGATGAGCATCTCTGCAAAATCCAGCGCGCTCTGGCACATTTTGCTGCTATCTATGGGCAGCGTCCGAAGGGGTACTGGAAGGAACCCGGAACAGATAATCTGGGTTGTATAGAGGAGCTGGATGGAACTATCTTTGCACGCGCGGCTGGTCTTACGGCTCAGAGGCTTGGCTGGATGACAACCGGAGAGGAGACGGGTAAATGGGACTTCAAAGGATTCTTTTGATCACAAGGAATGAAAGGTTATGATTGAGCTCGGAGAACGTGTATTATTATCTATATCCCCACTCGGAGCACTCACTTCGTGAAGCGGATGCCACAATTACCAAATAAGGAACGTTAGTTGCCCGCTTTAGGAGATGTCACTTGGCCTCCCGAGTCCGACGCGTGTGAAGGTGGGTCGCGTCAATGCTCATACTTAGTAACTTGGTGGCGAGAACTACAATCGAACTATGTACGAGACAGATATCTAACCTGACAGAACCTGGGCTCTCTTAAGCCCCGCTCGGATGCTGAGAGCGGGATCTTCAAGTCTCTCGCTCTCCGTTGCGTCGGTCTTGAGTCTATATTGATTCACCAAAATTTATGCGCTAGCTCGTGTCGAGGAAACAAGAAACTCCCCAGGATGTTTCATGGCTTGTAAGTCATCCAATGGTCCTGCTAGAGCGCTTTAATGTACAATTGAGTTGAAACCTAGCGAATATCCTTGCTCTCGTGAAGGTGTCGTGGGTCCTAGGCTCCTAGCAGCCGGGATGAACATTGGAGCTCAACGCTGTTGTGCTATATTGCTGAAGTTCTTCGACAAGCCTTGCACGACGTAATGCTGGTCATCGGATACTGTCACCTGCGAAGTGGGGTTGCAATACCTTGCTGGGACTCTTCGACGCAATGTCTATATATACGATGCTGGCGCCTTGGGTCTGACGCCAAATTACCTTCCCGCTAATCGTCATGGAGAGCAAGGACAAGCTGTACGGCTCCGTCGGGGAGGCTCCCTCTTCCTTATGCCCGTCGCGATGGCCTGGTTCCGATCATGAATCCCAACAGACGCTACTGAAGACACTGAAGGAGAACCACGAAAAATGGCACATCTTTTTCAACGAGAAGGGATTTCACAAGTGAGCGTCCTCCCCTAATGATAGAGTTCTGCACGAGCTCACAGATATCCGTTGTAGCCATACCACCCATCATATCCTGGCCGTTTACGGACTGGGTGCAGCGGGGCCTACAATCCAAGCTGCGTACGACGTCAACGCTAGTTATCAGAAACCCGCCTTCAAGGCTCCCGAGCCCATTGGTCTGCATAACTTTGAGGACCACCTGGGTAAAGAAGAGTGAGTAAACATGGGCTTCCTATGATTTTTTGTCTCAAATGTTACGGAAAACTAGGTATTACGGGGCGTATCGCGACTTCTTCGCTTCGGTTCTGCTGGACAAAGGCATCCCCTCCACGCTTGAGGAATATATCTTCTCAACGAGATATAACTACCACCCGCAGGTTACGGACAAGGAGAAGCAGCCCCGCATGCTGAGCAGATTTCTGTCGGGCGTCTTACATCCTTGGATTCATACCGGATATGGTGTTGAGTTTAAACTAATTGGTCAAACAGCCGAAGGTACGATGTGATGCATCCATAGGCAGACTGATCAACGAAATTCCCAACAGGCCTCGCTGAGACTGCTGTTCATGCGGCTAACGCTGACGCTGCTGTCCCTCAGTCTCGCTTCAACATTGCATCTCCCGGATCAGCCTCTAGCGCGGTTTCGCGTCTGACCTCGGCTCTACCCTCTCTGTCTCTGGGCTCAAACGGGCAGTCTGCGAAGGCGGAGGGGAAAAACGCATTTACCGTTGTCTCGTCTTTGCTGTCAGACCCGTTATGTATCATGGCCAGTGAGGGACCTAACGTGGGCAAGACACCGGATGAAATTGAAGAAGTCGTCGCTTCACTTATCAAGAAGTCGTTCGAGCAGTGCGGCGATATTGTCCGGAAGGCTGCAGAGGAATGGCTGCCAGTCGATGGACCAGAGCCGAGCGAGCAGGCACTGAATAGCAAGATGGAAGAGATGATATGGACGAACGTCTCTCTGTATGCCATTTGCGGGTGGAGCGACGCGAAACAGTTCAATGCGGACTTCTTCCTGTGAGTACATACTTTCCCCGTTAGAGCCGCGGATTCACGACTGTTTTGCCGTTCAGAATGCATCTAGTCACTTCTGCGCTCTTCCTGCCTAGCCTACTTGCACCGTCTGTCCTGCCCATGCGCTCCCGAAGGTTGCTCCTCCACTCGTACTTCACCACCTGCGTCTCTACCTGGATATCCCGCGGCCGCCCCGCTCTCGCCATCCGTGACTTCATGACACGTACCGACCCCCATTTGACTCCCCCTGGGCCCAAGCCCGAGCCTCACAAGGATGCATTACCGCCCCACAATGCGAAGCTGCAGACTAACGCTAACGCGTGGCTTCCGATTGTGCACAGCACACTCGCCCATCCCGACGAGCATCTATGCAAAATTCAGCGCGCCCTCGCGCATTTTGCTTCCCTGTATGGGAACCGTCCGAAGGGCTACTGGAAGACACAGCGGACGGAGAATCTGGACGGCTTGGAAGAGCTTGACGGAACTCTTTTCGCTAGGGCGGCGGGCCTCACGGCGAATAGGCTCGGCTGGATGATGGACGGCGAGGAGAAAGGAAGCTGGGATTTCGACGGATTCTTTGAGCACGACAAGGCGTAGCTTAATTTAATGCGTTCAACAACAGTTGTGTACTTACGTGCTCGTGTAATTAGTAAGTCACCCATTGTAATTATAGTCGTTCATCTTTCTTGCCACTGCGTGGGCAGGATTAGGCAGATGCGAACCGCGGCTGTTCTTTGAACCGGTTCGCTTGTGGCTGATATTGTCGGAGCTCCGGCGCGGCGATAGGACTGTCAGGCTCACTGTATCACCGCAAAGCTCATGCTCCCCAGGTGTATCCTGCGGTGTATGGCACACTTATACCACTAACTTATACTTGACTTGCAGCTGTATATTGACGCTTGCTAGCCAGACCGTCCCCTGCGCAATGCATATCCTGCAATTAGACGACGATTCCCTGTTTCTTATCGCAGACAACGCTCCATCCGAGTCCAGGAAGGACTACCTCTGTATTATCTCCCATGTGTGTAAACGTCTGCGAGCTGCAACGTTACCATGTCTCTTTCGTACCGTTAAATGGCCGTATCACGATGCTTCCAATCATCACAGAAATATACCCTCAAGTCACTCTGTAATTCCTAGTTACTTACAACAGCATATTCGGTAAGCCGTGATGCCCCCTCACCGCATTTGAGTCCCAGTCTGACATTTCTTGTGCAGGCGGTTTACCCTGTCATGCACCCTAGAATACTCTCCAGAGGTGCTAGTCTCAATGATAGAAGGCATGTTCTGTCTGACAGCCTTCACTTTCCTCGACTGCAGTCACCCGCCCGCGCAGCTGATCTTGGATGCTCTGTCGCATTCGCCTTCCCTCGCATCAGTAGAATTCTGTCGAACGCCTATCGATACGCTCACACCTTCCTTTTCGTTCGTCGCACTGGAGAACCTTTCCATCAAGTGCGGGTGGAAGCTCATCTCCGTTAACGGTGGCCCTCCTTACGATATCGTCACTTATCGAGCCGCGACGGGGAGTCTCAGTACTAGTCCAGTGCCTGATTTGTTTACCAAAATGTCGCAGTCTTTCTCCAGGCGCTCAGCCGAGTTGTCATTTTCAACTCTCTTCATTAAGACCAACCTTGCATTCCTCGAGCGGGTCGAAATCGAAGGAGCCCTGTTCCCCTTCGGGATTCTCCAGTCGACACTGTGGCCTCGTCTGCATACTCTCATATTCTACGGCCGCCCTCCGGTCAGCCAGACAGTCCCGCTGATATCCTTGTTTGGCGGGATGCCAATATTGCGAGACTTGCAGTTTCGGTGGGCCACACGTCTCGTCGATCGGCAGGAGCGGTATATCTATGTACCACAGGATTTGGCCTCGGCTTTTCACATAGACATTTCGACCATGGCCAGGAGTCTTCCTTCTATTCGGTCGTTGACATTATCAAACGTCGTACCCGAAGATCACGTCTTCAGGTCCTTACCTTCCACTCTCAGCCATCTGCACCTGCCAACCATCCTCGAGGACGGCGAGGCCGGAGCCGGCATCAGGGCAAGTAATCTACACAACCTGGGGATAGGACTTACCGGAGCCGGCGCGTCGGCGGTGATACGGGAGATCGCAATGAGCCGGTGCTCCCTGAGGGAACTTCGTATGACGCTGGCGGACATGCCCACGCCCGCTTTCATCAGGGACGTTAGTGTGGCCTTTCAGACTCTGCAGGTCCTCGAGCTTGGCCAGGCATGGTACGATGCCTTTGTCCCCGAGCTTGTTTACTCTGAAGTGCGTCATACTGGTCGTTACCAGCATGGGTATAAATCGTTATGTTTCAGTTTGACTTACGCACTTTATCAATCCAGGCTTCTTATACAGAATCTCTGAGCTCCCTCCGGCACATCCAAGAATTGCGGCTTGCGTTGCCATTCACGTCGGAAGGTCGGAATCGTCGCTTCATGTGGTTCGGGCCGACAACCGAAGAATTGGATAGAGCGAGGCGATTAGCCACGGTGTTGCTCGGTGTGCGTGTCATTGCGTTCCAGTGCACCTACGCAATGAACAAGATGCTACGGGAAGACTGGAATGAATGGGCGACTTACAGGATTCAACGGGACCATGCCTCTATCCCGAGCGTTTCCTGGGTTTCATCGAACATATACTAGATGTGCCTTTCAGCATTTGTCGCCGGCGTTATCCTGCTCTGACCCCCCCCCCCACCCACTACTGTGGCAATAGGATCTCATCGGTGAACCACGGATGGCGCCCTCACGGAGTCATTATGGCGTGTTCGATGTTCCCCTTCTTCCGAGCGAATTCCGAATGTGTATAGAACCGTAGTGACTGACTTACTGCGCCACAACTTCGTCATCTTCACGAGAAGATGGACTGAGTCAAACTTACCGTAGGACTTTATTCCATTGCCAATAAGAAGTCCTAGTGAACCCCTTACGTCTTTACCACTTTCGACTCAAGCCGCTTGGCCATGTGCACACGAGTCGTCCGTATACGGCGGAAGGTGTTCGAGTCGAAACTCGAGACCGTCACGTTTACTCTTTGTTGCGCTCGGCGCAGAAGGCCATCTCACATATCTAGTAACATAAAAAGTAACAGTGCATGTTGACCGCCGAAACGCTGAAGTCGGCGGAAGGTCCCGGACTCGGCCTACTGTAGGTCACGGTCCCCCAGTTCCGTTTCGCTTCCGTGACGCATTATAAATCAGAACAGGCCTACATACTGTACAAACAGTGCTCTTCTGGTAAGTCTTTGCAGTTACTCCTAACGCCGTCAAATGCTTCCGGTGCCGATACTGACGGCACTAGGTTCCAATCATCTGTGAACGTCCGCCGCTTGCGGTAGCCAATCATCAAGTCGAGCTGGCCGAAAGAAGGGAACTTCGGCTTGCATGCTTCTGCGACTGCATCGGCCACGTGGGACCTCTACACCATAAACCATGGCATCTCTGCTGTTGTCTTGCTAGTTTGTTCTACACGGAGGCAGAGCTTTTCAAAGCCGCTTTCATCTCCGGCCGTTCATCTGTCGCCTTGATCGTGGAAGATACAAATTTTGACTGCCTTCCAGGCTCGCGAGCAAACATTTTTGAATGAGCGCCACCTTTCGGCTGGGACTCGTTCCGAGCGGTTTCTTGCGTGAGCCTACAGGTCTGCAAGTATACAAGGCTGATGGCGAAGTGGGCCCTTGTGGGAAGGATCTCCCAGTTTCCCGTCTTACTAGCTATGGCCCGAGCTATTCTGGTCAGCCACTGAGATAAAGTTACCGGGTTCTTTGTTGGCGTCCCCAGCTTCCTGAACTTTGCATCATCCATGACAATTTCAGGTGTTTCCCCTGGAGTCGACACCATGCCGTGTTATGCCGCTGCCGACTCTCGCCGTCGCGTACTGCGTGTAGAACGGATTGCAGAATGTCTATCTGCTGTCAGGATTGCCGACAGAACATGCATGACGCCCGCGGCACCTGCGGATCGGTCCTTGTCATCCACAGGGTAGCCTGCTATAAAAAGGGCTAGCTATCTCTGTCGTCAGTCACCACTTCAATCCTTCAGTATGCAACTTCCAGCATTAGACGGGACTCTCTCTTTCGAGAGCGTTGTGGACTTCCACCTCGCTCACAATGCTGATCACACGTATGCTGTGTTCCCCGCTGCGGACACTGCATCCGAGACCTCGAAGGTATCATTCTTGGGATGGGGACGAGCGGTTCATCGCGCTGCTTATCGCCTGAGACCTAGCAAAAATCATGGCAAGGGCGAGGTAGTAGCTCTGATCGCCAACTGCGACACACTATTGTACACGGCTGTCCTCATGGGCATGATCAGAGGTGGACTTACTGTGCGTGCTTCTCCTGTATACTAACTCGACGGCTAGTCCTGACGCTTGAGCCAGCCTTTCCCTATATCGCCTCGTAACTCGGGGCCAGCCGTGTGCAGCATGCTCGAGAAGACGAACTGCCACCGTCTGGTTGTCACATCCTCCTCAGTCCAAGGCCTCATTCATGCTACCAAGGCTGAATTGGATTCCAAACGGTATGACCTCCAAGTGGAAGAAATACCGGCCTTGAAGGACTTGTTCCCGGACCTTGGCAACGAGGATAGCTCTAGCGGCGACTTCGAACCTTATCCATCGCTCGAACGGCTCTCTCCCGACGATGTCTTGATTTATATTCATTCGTCGGGTTCGACAGGGTTCCCTAAGCCAATCGCCCAGACTGTACGCATCATCAAGGATTGGTGTAACCAACGTGAGTGTTCAACCAGCTGCGCTTTGTAACCCCACTGACCGAGCAACGCCAACTGGTGCAGCTCCTGCAATGGACGTTCGCGGACTACATGAAGATCTCGTCCTCGGCGTGGCTGCTCTACCCGCTTTTCACACCTTGGGTTTCACGATGCAGATAATCTTGCCTCTAATTACCGGGAAACGTATAGCGCTGTTCCACCATCGTTTCCCTGAGCCTCCGGTCAATCCTAATCCTGACAACACTCTGGAAGCACTGAGGCTCACGGGATCTAATTGCGTTATTGCCGTACCAAGTTTCTTCGAGGTACGTTCTTTCCCTTTACTTGACTTAATGCCCAGTGGGACTTAATGTGTCACATTTGAGTCAGGCATGGGCGAATTCGAAGGAAGGCGTGGAGTTCCTCGCATCCTGCGAGTTTGCGGTAAGGAAGAAGAATATCACATATCGTATCACGTACTAAATCTACAGCCAAGGCGTCCTCTGGCGGCCCATTATCCTCTAAAGTCGGTGACTACCTCGTCTCTCAAGGCGTAAGATTGGTGTCATTGTACGGCGCTACGGAGATGGGAATTCCCATGTCCATTTTACCCGACGCAAACGGAAAGGCTCCAGAGGACTGGCAATATATAGCTATAACTGAGCGCTCATTACCGCGGTGGATCCCTCAGGGCGATGGCTCTTATGAACTGCAGATGTTGGTAGGTCGTCTAGCGAAGGCGGCCTTTGCCTTCCTGTACTAAATGGTCTTCGTAGAATACGGACACGCACCATGTAGCCAAGATCAACCTCGCAGACGTCGATGGGTATGCGACATCTGACGTCTTCGTCAAGCACCCGACTAAAGAAAACTTGTGGAAAGTGTACGTAGTCTCCCATGTCTGAACGCCCTCGGCATATATATATTGGATAACCTTTCTGTGCAGTGTAGGCAGAAGTGACGATGTTCTAATCCTCGCCAATGGTGCGGCACACAAATCCCACTTGCTTCTATCTTTATTTATTCTGCTTTTGTCCAGGCGAGAAAACTGTTCCAGGGCCTTTGGAAGGCATGATCCTCGCGCATCCTATGGTCCAGGGGGCAATTATGTTCGGCCGCGAACGCAACCAAGTCGGCGTTCTGGTTGAGCCAAAGGCTCAGTATGCCTTTGACCCGAGTGATCAAGCAGCCCTAGCAGCCTTCCGAAACAGCATTTGGTTTGTGATCTTCTTTAGTGTCGAGTTGTGGTAAACTCAACTGGATGTGGTACATCAGGCCCGCGGTTGAGGAAGCGAACGACACAGCGCCTGCGTTCAGTCGTATCTTCAAGGAGATGATCCTCGTGACGTCGCCCTGGAAGCCCATGATGCGTGCACCGAAGGGTACTGTCATGCGCAAGGCCACCCTGAACGAGTACGCACAGGAGATTGAAGACCTGTAGGCACCTAACATAGAAATCACATTCGCCTTGCTGATTGTTGATGGCATCAGGTACGAGACGGTGGAAGCGAGCACAAAGGCCGGAGATGTTGCCCCTCCAGAGTCTTGGACTCCACCGGTCGTCACAAAATGGCTCGTTGAGCAAGCCGCAGCAATTAATAATGACGATGTTCCGGAGGTTGACATGGATTTGTTTGCACAGGGATTCGACAGGTATGCAATGAGACTTCTTCGAGATAATGAGCTTAGGATCACTCATTGAAACATCGATCTTACCAGTCTGAGCGCAACGTTCCTCAGAAACCGCATCATCGGCGCCCTCCGCTCCTCGGAGTCTCCGTCTGCGAAACAAGCAGCTTCACAAGTCAACCAGAACATAGTGTTTGCGAACCCGACCATCAAACAGCTCGCCAATAAGCTCGTGTCTCTGGTTGACCCCCAGGCTGCCGATGCAAGCAGTCATGATCCGGCGGCGGAGATGATCGACATGATAGCCAAGTACAGCGCCACCTTAGCGGGCCCGAAGGAACCCAAAGCTGTGGTTCTTTTGACCGGTTCTACAGGAACTCTAGGCACCCATCTTCTATTCCAGCTGCTGCGGAACGAGAACGTCGCGAAGGTGTATGCATATAACAGGAAGTCTAGTGCCGCGAGTTCCTCGGAGAGGCAAAAGGCAGCCTTTGTCGACAAAGGGTTCGATGCTGGTCTGTTGGAAGACGCTGTCGCACCACTAAAGGTCGAGTTCCTTGAAGGAGATGCAGCGCACGAAAACCTTGGTCTGGACCCTGCAGTCTACGCAGAGGTGCGTTGGGTATTGTTTATCCTGGAGTGAGGTAATTGATGAAAGATGAATCTAGCTGCAAAGAACTTGCACGCATATCATTCATAATGCCTGGCGGCTGGACTTCAACCTTTCGCTGTCATCCTTCGAGTCGCACGTCGCCGGCGTGCGCAGTCTCCTTGCTCTTTCTCTGTCTTCGCCCCATTGGTCCCGCGTACGATTCTTGTTCACGTCCTCCATCGCAGTCTTGCAGCATTGGGACACCGACAAGGGTCCAGCGCCCGAAGAAGGAGCTCTAGATGCGAAAGTAGCTGTTGGTAATGGATATGGCGAAAGTAAGCAATAATGCTGTCATTCGATGTGAGATGTTATTAACGAAGAGGCCAGGTAAATACGTGGCAGAACAGGTATGTACTGCCAGAATAAATCTTCGACTGACCCACTGATTGAACCGGGTACAGTTAATCTTGAAAACACCTCTTCAAAGCACTTCATTCCGTATCGGCCAGATATCGGGGGGAGAGCCGTCAGGTTCTTGGGCACTGACGGATTGGGTGCCTATCATGATAAAATCGTCGATTGGTCTAGGGGCCTTGCCAAACTCCAATGGCGTAAGTTTTTCAGTCACTTTTCATGTACGCCCACTAAGGAATGGATGACATGTCGAACAGATGGTCTCGTGGCTGCCAATGCACAGTGTAGCACAGTCCATCCTCGATGTCGCGTTCACCCCTGAGGGCGGCAGGATATCTCGCACCTTGCATTTGGTCCATCCCAGGCCTGTACCCTGGACTAATGTCGTTCGAGAAGTGCGCGCTGCCCTGATCGAGCGCGGAGTGGCGAAGATCGCAGAAGGGCAAACAGCTGAGAGTACACAACAGGCCGTGCTACCGCTGGTACCTTTCGATAAATGGGTGGAGCTGGTGAAGAAGCGGTCGAACAATCCCAGCAAGGAGGACCTCGAGAAAATCGTGAGTCTCGTTCTTGTGAATGCGATGCTGATTCGCTGATTGACTTGTCCGACTCAGCCCGCAATCAAATTGCTTGAGTTCTTCACGTACATCGCTTCAGGCGATCTCGAAGCAGAAAAGAAAGGTCTCCGGGAGTATGAAATGGGTAATTGGGCCAGATTGGCCACCACGGAGGCTGTTAAGGCATGCGAGACCATGAAAAACATGCCGCAGATTGGGAAGCGCGATGTCGACATGTGGATAGACTATTGGATTAGCAAAGGTTTGTTCCAGTAGAGCTCATAGAGGACAATGACTAGGTAGAAGCCAACGAATCCTTTCGTTAACTCGACTTAGGAACTATACCTCTTGGTGTGCGACCGCCGACAGTATAGGCATTGATCTACGAACATGCATGCGAGTGATGCAGAGTGTGGCATCCAGAGAACAAAACTTTGGCTGATTTTCCCACGGGCTTTTGTCTCCGACACATTCCGTCTAGTACGTCCACATGACTGGCGCTTGCTCTGTAATGCTTTCACAGAGACTTCGGCCGTAAATATATTCAACTGCTCATAGGCATAATACCCTAGCACTGCGCTCAAACTGCCCGAGTGCTCATCTTTGAAGAAATCACTACCAGGAATCCACGGCGAACTGCTTCTGCAATGAAGTGGTCCGCCAGGTTCAGTCTCTTGACTGATCTGCGTCAAGCTTTCCAGACCGCATTGTTCCCAACCTTCCTGGCGGTAGTCAGATCACCGTTGCTTCTCCTGCATCCGCATGCCATCTCGGAGATATTCATGTCCCACGTTTGGGTAATGATGTCTGCCGCCGTGGACGAGGGCGGCAAACAAGTTAAAGAAAATCTGATCACCCCGCATGCGTATGGCGTTGTATTCGACATTGGCGCAGGTAAGCGTACACGTTCTATTCTAGTAGACATAGCTCTGGGGCCCCTGACATATCCCCGATCAGGGCATGGCCACACCGTCAAGTACCTAGATCCCACAAAAGTAACCAAATACATCGCGCTGGAGCCCAACGCCCTCATGCACCGCCAAATCCGAAAAAATGCCGCGCTCGCAGGATTCACCGAATCCGCGGACACCCTCCTTATTTTGCCCTACGGCGCCGAAGCGACCGCGCAGATACTACGCTCACTCGGTCCAGAGCCTCAATGCGTCGACACGCTGATCTCCATCCTCACAATCTGCTCGTTCCCCATGGAGCCCGAGCCAGATGACGTACTCGCCGCGCTGGTGGCGAGCGTGCTCAAGCCGGGTGGGCAGTTCTTGTTTTACGAGCATGTCGCGAACCCCCAGGCGGAGGTGAGGTGGTGGCAGCGTTTCTGGACGCCCCTGTGGAGCATGACTTGCGGGGGCTGCAGGTTGGATAGGGATACCCCTGCTATTGTTAAGGGGATGGGGATACGGGAGGAGGGGCAGGAGTCTGGGATGTGGAGGGAATGTAAGATGTGGGGGAAGGAGGGGGAAGACGTCGACAGCTTGTTTTGGCATAGCGTCGGCAGAGCAGTAAAGGCGTGAACTTCTGGTCGCTGAAGAGGCACTCGAAGACCCCCAATCGTAATATGGCTTTTGTATAGATAACATCACTAATATCCATTTAAAATCAAAAGAAGGTATATACTTCCGCACCACCGCACTCAAACCCTCTCGTCCGCCCTCTCCCTGTCCCTGCCAGGCGAATTCGGCGGGAAGGCAAACGAGCCCATAATAGGACTCCACCCATCCTCCACCCTCTCCTCTGCCCTGATTAAACTCGCAATGCTCGCCGTATGGCGATGGCTCTTCTTCCCCGCCACAGCTTTCTGCTGCTGTTGCAATGGCGCATTATTCGAGCCCGGCACGGGTGAGCGGTAAGTAATGTCGGCGCCTTCCTCGTCTTCGCTGGACAGCTCAAGCTCATCCATATCCGCCACGCGGCCGCGGGAGTTCTGCACATCATACAGATCGTACTTGCTCCGGCGCCCAAGTGATGCCGGCGGCGCAGTCGCGCGCGGCCCGCGGAACTCGTCGGGGAGGAAGAAGTAGAAGCACGCGGTGGCGAGGCACGCGCCGCTGACGACGTCGATGAGGTAGTGATGCGTGAGGTACATCGTGGCCCAGTAGAGCACGCCCGCGTACGCCCAGATGTACTTTGTCATCTCGGGGAAGAACTGCGAGATGAAGAGCGCCTCGATCGTCGCGCAGCCCGCGTGCAGCGAGGGGAACGCGCCGAAGACGACGGGCGAGTGCGAGAACGTCGTCTCGTACCCGTGCCCGCCGAAGAGCGCGTCAATGCGCCCGAGCCCGCCCGCGGAGCCTGGCATCGAGTAGTTCGCGGGCGTGAGCCCGTAGATGAGCTCGTACCACGGCGCGGCACACGGGATGAGGATCTGGATGATCACGCCGATGAGGTTCATGTACCCGAAGGCGCGCGCCCAAAGGTGCAGCGCCTCCTTCGGGCGGAAGAGCCAGAGGAAGGCGGCGACGACGAAGGGGAAGACGAAGTGGATGATGCCGTACGGCAGCCAGGCGATGATGTCGAGCACGGGGTGCGTCGTGCGCGTGAGGATGTCGGAGACGTTCGCGCCGTAGAGCACGGTCTCGAGCGTCGGGAGCAGGGAGACGGAGATGGAGGGTCGCCAGGAGGCAGGGATGAACCGTGAAGAGTAAAATGTCAGGACCCAGGATGCGACAGGTATCGCGGGCAGGAAGAACTGCGAGGTTAGGGGTATGAGGAGGAATATAGCGTATAGGATGGGTATTAGTAGTTTATACGGGAATGGCGGGAATTGCATTAGGGTGATCCAGAAGGCTGCGAGGGCCAAGTGGAAGACGTAGATGGAGTCGGACAGGGTAAAGGTGTGCTTCCGCAGGCGGGCGATGGTGTCGGAAGGAGAAAGGGACTTGTCCATGCGGCCAACCGCGGCAACGAAGGCGCTCAGTACCTTGGCCAGAGGCCGCGGTAGGCTGCTCAAGCGTATTGGCATGCTGTAGTGGAGGGAAATATCCATGAAGCTGCATCCTCGTAGACGGCTCACGGGGCTACTCACTTGGATCAGACTACAAATTCCTTATCCCCACAGTCAAGAAGAATAAATCCCTTCACTAAGGTGTCCACCAAGCAGAAATCTCTCAAAGGCGACCCTCTTCGCGTCCAGGATCCCGACAAACTGATGTCCGACGGTATAGGTCCGCACCTCGCGTCGTGAAAGCCCTATTCGCACCAGAAAGCTCGTTAGAGAATCCGTGAGCTCCAGAGCCACAGAACGTACCAGTAAAAGCCTGTGAAACTCAAGCCTCAGCAGTCGGCGTCGCGGTCGTCCTGGCTGGACGAGTCGAACTTCGCAGCGTAAGGCTCGGAGGCGTGGGAAAGCTGCGCGAGCGCTTAGCGGACTTGGCAGACGCGTCCAAGCTTAAGCTTTGGTCTCTTTCAACTCTTCCTACCTTTATTGATCTGGAGACTACACGAACCTAATGTCGAACACGATTCCACTGTGAGTACTTATAGTACTCATACTGGGACATGGATGCCCAAAGTTGACCGTACTTGCATGCCCAGTTACCCGTTATCCAACTTCACGTTCAGGTGAGCAAAACATACCGCCACTGGGGGCAGGCGTAGGAGAAACGGAGAAAGAACGTACTCAAGGCCATCTTAGCACCAAGGAAGCTCAGCCGGAGGAGGACCCGTCCGTTTCTGCGCGTCTCCAGCGGCTGCAGAACAACTATGAGGACTTTGGCATGAGGCGGACGGTGGAGGGGATCTTGGTGGTGCACGATCACGGGCACCCGCATATCCTGATGCTGCAAATTGCAAACGCGTTTTTCAAGCTGTACGTTCCCCGTTCCTGACAGCTCCACGCATTCACCCGTCCCCACATAACTCTGTACACCCCTTGCAGACCAGGCGACTACCTCAAACCCGGTGAAGACGAGATCGAAGGCCTCAAGCGCTTGCTGGACGTGCGCCTCGCGCCGCCAAAAGATTCCCACCAGTTTAACGCGTCACATGGTATCGACAATGACTGGGAGATCGGTGACTGCCTTGCGCAGTGGTGGCGTCCCAACTTCGAGACATTCATGGTGTGTGCCTCCTTCCTCCTTTTGGCATTCTTAGCCCTGGATGTATGCTGCAGTGAACTGACGCGTTGGTGGATAGTACCCGTTCATCCCGGCGCATATCACGAAACCGAAGGAGTGCAAGAAGCTGTTTTTGGTGCATATGCCTGAGCGGAGTGCGTGTTTCCTCCTCTCCGGCTAATTATGTGCGAGGACTGATAAGGTCTCGTGCAGAGGTCCTGGCTGTTCCGAAGAACATGAAGCTCCTTGCCATTCCGCTATTCGAGCTGTACGATAACGCTGCACGGTGAGTGGTGTTTCCTGACCTCGCCGGACTGCCACGACCTTAACCTCGGTGATGTCAGTTATGGACCGCAATTGTCTGCCATCCCGCACCTTTTATCCCGGTGAGCTCATTGTCCCTTTCGCCATTTCCCCATCGTCTACGTGCGTATGCTGAACGAGCGCCGCAGGTATAATTTTATTTATCAGTAATCCCACTTGGACTCGTTTGTCGCACCTTATAGCTTAGATTGTTTTCCGTGTTATCAAAAGTATTCCGATATTACGGCATGCTGCCATGCGTGAATATGCCCTGCATTAGAGTGCGGACAGGATGTACTGTAAGAGATTTGTAGTCGTGAGAATTATGACCTGTAAGCCTCTTATCACGGCAACTTGAACAAGCAGCTGGTCGACCTCCTCTCATCTACGTACCATCAGTGAGCGACACCTTCCCGTCCACGATGGTCGTGGTCCCACTCCCCACCCGCCTCCGACAACAATACGCCGAGCAAGGCTTCGTCATCATCCCGGGGCTCATCCCGCCCTCCTCCTTCGCCGAGCTGCAGCAAGCCGCCGAGCGCGCCATCGAGCGCACGCGGAAGGGGTCATGGCCGCATCGCCGGGTCGTGGGCAAGCAGTTCCCGCCGTACGACTCGGCGAACCCGGACTCGTGGGGCGTGCAGCATGTGATGCACCCCGACTTGGGGGAGAAGGCGTTTGCGAGGTGGTACACGAGCGAGGAGGTGCGCGCGGTGGTGAGGGAGCTGTTGGGGTGCGAGGACGAGAATCTGCAGATGGGTATGTCGTGCAAGTTGCTAGGGTGCTGTTTGCTTGGAGAGGGAGCTGAGAGAGCAATCAGAGCTGTTTAATATGCTTATCAACCCGACGGAGCATGATTTTGCGCTGCGATGGCACCGGGACGATGTCAAGGAGAACGCGACGGAGGAAGAGGAGCGCGAGGCGCTGGGGATCTGGCATTATGGCGTGAGCACCCCTTCCTTTCCTCTCCAAACCCCCGTCGCACTAATTGCTGCTCGTGGTCAACTACAGGTTCAATGGAATACGTACGCATAGCCAGCCGTCCACTCTAAGGAAGGATACATATGACCGACATGTGATGCAGCGCGCTGTACGACGACTCGTGCCTGTACGTCGTCCCGGGGTCGCATAAGACCCCGCGGACACCCGAGCAAAGGAAGCATTCATCCACCTCTGAAGCACCCAAGGACCCGATGGACATGCCCGGCGCGATCCAAGTGACTATCAAGGGTAGGCGTGACTCCATTTAGTCCCCCCTCTTCCACCCTCTGTCAGTTACCTTCTTCTCCGTGGACTCATGCATCCCTCAGCGGGCGAGACGGTGTTCTACAATTCCAACATTCTGCACTGCGCGACCTACTCACGCGCCCAGCAGCGCGCCACGCTGCACGCGACAATGGGGGACACGCGCGGCGGGGCGACGCGCGCGAGGAATATACTGCAGCACGGGCTGGACTGGATGAAGAGCGAGCAGTTCCGCGAGACCCTGGACGAGAAGGGCCGGGCGATGCTGGGTAGGCTGGTCAAGATGCAGGACAGCGTGAATGGAGATGTTGGTTATTCTTTGGCTAATTAGCGGCGTCCTTCGGGTTTTCGTGGTTAAATAAATGTATCTCTAGTTGATTTTCGGTACAAGTTGAATCTCCAAATGGTATTTTGTAGGCGATGGGTGAATCCCAAATCTGTGAGTGATTCTGATCAGCTTCTAATGAGACGCGGTATTCACGAGCTGTCACAGTCGCGTGTGGCGTGACCGTCCCCTGTCTCTTTGTTTCCAACGGTGGTACACCTCCCCCACAAACGCTACCGGTACACTCTTGCATAATTGCTACTAGTATCTGAATTATTGTTTATTATATGCTATAAATCTTGGCGAATGTCCGACAGTAACAATCAACGCAAGCCGTATGCGGGCAAGGGCAGGAGGCTCGTGGTCGCTATAGACGTTGGAACTACTTTCACCGCGGCCTCGTTTTGCATTCTCCAGGAAGGCCGGATCCCGAAATTCGAAGAGGTCTGTACACCTAGTACTATGTTCTGCACTTACTGAACACGACTGCAGGTCCTCCGCTGGCCGAAGCAGGTAAGTTGGGAACATCCACTTTGCGGAGAAAGGCAACACATTCCACGGACAATTTCTAGGTCACTGCGGATGCCAAAGTGCCATCTGTGCTCTACTATGATAAGAGAGGCAATCCTTGTGCATTCGCTGCGGAGACCGATGACGAGGACGTGATCATGGCAGCCGAAGCCAACGAGTGGTACAAAGCCGAATGGTGTGCCTCCTGCCCGTCTCTGCAGTCCCCCTCACCTCGACTCAATTGAGACGCAAGGTGGAAGCTACACCTGCGCCCGGGGCACCTCCCCATCATCAGGGACCTCAAGCTCCCCGCGCTCCCGCTGCACCGCACCGCCGAGGACGTCTTCGCGGACTACCTCGAGTATGTAAAGACGCAGGTAAAGGAGTACATCACGACCACGTACGGCGAGGGTGCGAACATGTGGACAACGCTGAGCGCGACGATGTACGTGATCCTCACGACGCCGAATGGGTGGGAGGGCGCGCAGCAGAACAAGATGCGCGCGGCGGCGATCAAGGCAGGGCTCGTTGGCGCGGACGGGGCGCGGCGGATTCGGTTTGTGACGGAGGCAGAGGTACGTGTGCATGCGCTCGTTGGGGATGGATGGCTGACTGGGGTCGCAGGCCGCGGTGTTGTATGCGGTGGATAGCGGCTGTGTCAGCGACTGGTTGGTGGTGAGTCTAGTGGACATAGCTTTGCATACGATGGACTTGCTCAACTGTCTTCCGGTGGAAAGAAAGATGGCCATCTCATTCTTTGTGATTGCGGAGGTAAGACCCTTTCATTGGGGACTGTGTCTGAAACTCACTGCATTACCTCAGGTGGCACGGTGGATATCACGTTAGGCCCACTGCTATGCGAACTACCGTCCATGACCTGATATCGGGCACTCTGTAGGGGCTACCGCATCAAGGAACTTTCTCCCCTCAGGCTGGAAGAGTCGTCCGCCTCAAGATGTGAGCTCATCCGGTTCCCGATTTTATGAGTCTCAGATCTCACACCTCCGGCTCGTAGGTTACCTAGCTGGCGCAGTATTCATCACGCAGGCCGCAAAAGAGTACTTGAAAGGTTGGTAATGTCTCACGGGGTCTGCTTCGCATTCCGCTCATACGATTGCGCCCTTGAATGCATTCTTCAGTCCGACTGGCGGGCACAGAGTGGGACAACGAGGAGGCCATACAGCGAGCAACCGATGACTTCGACAAGAACGCTAAGCGCAAGGTAGATTTCGTTTCTGGCTGGATTTGCGCAGCAAGCGACTCAGCCACTTGTAGTTTGACAACCCTGAAGCAACGTACTGGATCAACCTGAATGGGTTCAAGAGCGTTGCCGACCTCGGGATCGTGCGAGGGCGTCTGAAAATCTCGGGGTAGGCATGCTCTATCGCTATCTGCTGCGCCAAGCACTCATGTCGGATACATCCTAGGCAGGACATGGCGGCGTTCTTCGAGCCCTCCCTCAAGTCTATCAAAGAAGGGCTGGAGATAGCTTTCGAAAACGGCGACCGTCTGGCGGATGTGAGTCCCCGACCATGACCCACCTCTTGAGTCCGGAGTTGAACTCAGCTGCGCGATAGAAAATTATACTCGTGGGGGGCCTGGCCAGCTCACCCTACGTGTATTCGCAGCTGGTGAAATGGGGTGAAGAGAACGGCATTCCCGTCAGCAGGCCTGATGGACCGACGTACGCACGTCCATGAAATACACAGATACATGTCTGACGTAACCCTTCTCCAGCACGAAGGCGGTAGCTAATGGCGCCCTTGCGTGGCATATCGATGATAGCGTCTCAGCCCGAGTATCAAAGTGTCATTATGGTATTCAGATCCGGATATCGTACGACCCGAGTTGCGAGGAATCAAGGCAGCGCCCGAGAGAAATCGGTTTGGACGGGCGAGAGAGAGTACTTGGTGCCTGGTCCTGTATTTTGCCTAAAGTATGTGAAGACTATCTCTGTCAACCGTGTTCCGTACTGACGAGCGTCCACGGCACCAAGAACACTTCAGTTGACAGCACGAAGCAGTTTACTAAGCCGTTCTACGTTGAATGGAATGAAGGACCCAGTGACAACTTCCTGAAAGAAGTCGACATCTATATATATCGGAGAGCCAAGCCGCCGAAGTTCCTCAGATTCCTGGGTATGCATATCCGAGTCTAAATTCCTTGGTAAATTGAGCTTACCTCCGAATGGCAGGAAAGGACATGCTGCAACCGGGATTCGAAGTGTTATGCACGATAAAAGGTGATCTTCGACGGTGTTTCGAGAGTTCACTATCCCATTTGTCCCCTACGACGGGTCAACGCTATCGAAAAGTCGAGGTAAGTGTCACGGTGCTCTGGACTCCTTCCGAATTCTAACCAAGCCACTGCCCCTAGTTCGAGGTCTGCTTACAGTTAGGTGAGACAGAACTGACAGCCCAGATGCGTTGGAAGGAAAATGTAGGTGGCCTAATACGAAGCGAAGGTTCACTAGCGCTTACTAATGTCCTCCCTAGGGTGAATGGGTGTATGGCGATGCGACTGTTGCATATGAATAGAGTAAGTTTGTGAAAGGACTACCCACGTTCTATTAAGGCCGTGTAAGGTGCTCTTAGCTTGTTTCTGGTTTTCCGAGTCATGCAGGAGAGAGCTGCCGGAATAATGCCTCGGTGACAACTTTTGGACGAGTCAGGGATTGCAGGCGCCCATCTGCGCTTAGTTTAGATAAGCCTAGCCCATACGCTCCGACAATGCGATCGCCTTCCTTGACACCCATTTCAGGCCACTGACTATCGACCGCGCGATGGTCGAAAGTTCCCTCCGAAACGGCCCCCACCATCAAGCGGACTGCTAATACATCGCGTTTCATCACAAGCGAGAGCTCGCGAGCCATCTTGTAAGTTGTAGATAGCCCCGAAAATATGTCCTCCCGCATGGAGTCCAAAACCTGGGCCGGGACACGATAAGCAAGGGCGACCTGCTCTATCACCCTTTCGCCCATATTCCGACCGACTTCCTCGGACATTGTAGGGTCAATAAGATCTTCAGTACACACTGCCGTCAGGGAACGCCACTTTTGCACAGTCTTCCAGGATTCTGGGAATTACTAAGTAGATGAGACAACATGACGTTTTGGGAACTCACCTTTCTTGCCTAACCGCCTTTCTAAATCATCTAGAAGAGAAGCGCCCTGGAAGTTGACGGTGGATGTGTTGATGCTAAAGAAGACGTGGTGGATATCAGACAACACCTCATGATGCAATAAAGCATCAAGCAACAGCTCTCGGCCTTCTTGATCAACTTCGTACCGAGGCTGTAATGCGTTTTCCAGGGCGCCTGCGGATTTTGGAGTTGAGTCGGGCGCATGCATTTCTGCAAGTCCTGCAGCGGCCGTATCTCCAGCAAAAGCCGCCGACAGTTCACCGGCCTTCTCCATGATGTTAATCACCAGGTCGTCCACAGCTGTATTGATGCTCTCAACGGAGAACGGTGCCTGGCTCTTTAGGAACATCTCCGACACTTGGTCGGGGCCGGACTCGAAGTCTACAGGAGTTGTGGACCGGACGGACGAGGCCTGCCCCCGTGGCTGTGACTTCGCTCTCTGTGCTTTCAGTTCTCGTTTGAGATTCCCTTTCTCCTCCAGCAGACCTTGAATACGGGAGTCGTAGGAGCGCTCAACGTCCTTCAGCTGCCTATCTTTGCTAGCCAGAGTAGCCTGAAGTCGCGCTTTCTCCTGCTGAAGCTTGTGACAATCGGCTTCTTGCTTCCTTGCTGTTTCGTAAATCTCTTCACGACTCTCCAACGCCGCGACCTTTTCCTGCTCGGCACGCTGAAGCATTGCGCGAGCTTCGGCAAGGTGCCGTTGGGACTCCTCCTCCTTGAGACGATACTCTGCTGCTGTACGCGTGGCTTCTCCCAGCTCCGCCCGGACAAGCACCAGTTCTTCTTGGTACGTGAATGATGATTCACCGGCTTCTTGTTCTTCTGCGGACGGTCCAGGCGCTTCAGGAGGGCCTTCCTGGGGTGCTTGCGGCCAAAGATGTCCCAAATGATCGGACACGGCTGTCCATAACTTCATTACAGACGGACGGCGGACCAGCCCAGAGCCATGCTTCTAGATACAGCATTGAGTGAGTGATAACACGTGGGTCAAATGAGATGGAACCCACGCTGCGACTCTGAGTCTCCCTGTTTGCGTCGTCGCGGGCTGAAGCTGCGTCCTGTTGGTGGCGCGGCAAACTATAGAAAATAGTATCTCTACAAGACCCTTGGACCATATAATAGGTACTAATACCGTTCATCAGTATCGCTGTCATCTACACTTAAATAGAGGATCTCAGGACGCCGAAGATCATGACGAGGGGTGGAAGACATACATTTCGTCCTCATCGTTCTCCATTCTTCGACTCGCCCTTCAATAAGACCAGTCAGAGGAATCCAGAAGATAGACTGATTCATACCCTTTGATACGGCTAAGATCAGTGTAATGTAAGTAGAATGACTAGCAAGTAAATATTGCAATAAACGTACAGCTCGTGCACTCCTGTCTCACTCCTGTCGTCTCCATCTGTCTTCTCCCGCTTCGCATCCCGAGAAAAATCCTCATGTCCACTGCCGTCCTCGTACTTGAAGATGCGTGGATAGTCGTCGTGCCTCTGGCGTTTTCTCGACCACGGGCTTTCCACTTCTCTCGGGCCATCACGGTCGAAATAGAGGTGTTTGTCAGTCTGCGATCTGTCCCCGCGGGCTTCACTATGGGAATTGGATCCGTTCTGTACGGGATGTTTGGTACGGTTTAAGCCTTCCCGGTAGTGAGTGGCATTCGGATGGTGCATAGAAGCAGGACGCAAGAGAAGCTGAGGCCCTACAGCCTCAGGCTACGGTGGCTTGTGGCTGCGCACGTGACCGACGCGACCGATGATGGATTACCTTGGGATTACTCGAAATTTATCAGACTCAGTGTACGGTACATCTCCTGTAATGGTATTGTCCAAGAAACATACAGCACACTGTACAGGCCTTACAGGAGGCATGTTGAACACTAGAGTCCAGGAAAGTACAACAGGGAAGGCAGGCATGCCAGGGCAGTAGACATCAAATGAACATATACCACGCACAACCGCTGGGAAGCAAAGTCATGCCGACTCCGTATTTACAACTTCAGTAATCACCACTTCGTTCACGACATAACTGTTCGCGATGGGGAGGACGCGGTCGCGGTCAGCGCCACCTTCGGATTCACCATCGGCGTCATTATCTGCTAGAGCAGCTATGCGTACAACTGGGTAAGCGAGGTGTTCGGATGCCGAAGCCAAGGTACTTTACCGAACGACACCGGCACTTGCGCATCACTTGCCTGGCCAGCCCCTTCCGCTCCCTCCTCATTCTCATCCGCAGGCTGCGCATCTACTTCGTCTTCCTCATCTTCAATCGCTCGAGACTCCTTCGCTTTAGTGGCAGTTCTACGTCTCTTTCGTGGGGGTGCAGCTCTCCGACGCGTGGTGACGGGAGGCGCTGTCGCGTCGGGCTTCTTACTCTCGATGACCACCCCATCAAATGTATTCCGTCTCTTCTTGAGCTGCCCACCATCCGCACGCAGACCTGATCGCAGCTCCATTCCCTTCTTCCTGACATTACGTGACATCGTTACCTCCGCATCCGACTTCCTAGGACGTTTCGGCCGCTGGAACGCGGTGGTCGTAGTACCCGCTGCAGCAGGAGCCTCTCCCTCGGGCACGAGCTCATCAAAGCGTTCCAAGGTTTCTTCCACTACAACCAAGCTAAGGTCAGGTTATTGTTCTGTCATTCGCTCGTAGCCTGGGAATGATAGAGATGCGTACGGCCGTGCTCCTGAACTGCCGCGAGTGCCTTGATCATCTCATCCCTTCTGCTCAATTTTGCAGGAAAACCCAGCTCTTTGCATAACGTTCGTAGGGTCTCTGCTCTTAGCTTGTCCCAAGGAAACTGGCTCGTCATGATGGATGTGGATTGCAAAGGCCAATGTAGCAGGAGAAGTGAGAGGTTGAGCTAGTCGGAAGTTGCCGGTGGCAAAATAACGCTGCAGCGACAGCGACTGGCACTCGACTGGCCCGGCTGAGCAGCGCGGGAGGTGGTGGGACGCAAGCGGGACGTCGACGTGTCTATCTATGTGGAAGCTTGGATACCCCGCGGATGTGGACTGCTTTGACTCTGATGTTGGTGCAGTCATAACGCTAATGGATCATGCTCTATATGCAGATTTACATTTGTACAACCAATAACAATAACGGAACGGCGGTTTATGTGCATATTAGTGAGTACTCTTCATGAGAAGCTCAAGACTGGAATGCACTTGTGTCTTCAGTGCCACCGAGCAACCCGCTCATACTCGTAGGCTTCCTCGGTATAACCTTTATACTCCTCTTTGAAAGTGGAGCCAGAGAAAGCTTTGCTGTTCACCCTCGTGCCTTCGATATTCCAGGTACCGTACGTGCTCGCGAAGACGCCCGTAAACTTGTTCGTGTTCTTGCCCTCGTCACGGTCAGTATCAAAAGTCAACTTGCCGCAGTTGAAGTCCTGGGCAGTCTGCATCTCGCCCTCGCCCGTCTCGCGTCCACGCCAGAGGAAGGTGGTTTCGAGTGAACTGGGCGTAGGTGGTTTGTCGAAGGCGATGACGCCTTCGAGGATGCCGAGGTTGAAGGCCGCGAAGAGGACGTCCCCACTTGTTCCTTTCCCTTTCTTGCCCTTGGCCGTGGTCAGTTTAGCGATGTTGAAGTGCATATTCCCGGAGACGTCAGGCCAGTTGGCGGCGAGTGCGGGAGCGCTAATCGTCCAGGTACCGGTGACGTCCAGCGCGTCGGGGAATTTGCGGTTCGTGATGGGTTTGAGGGCGGGGTCGCGGGTGTATTCGAGGTCGTCTTCACCTTCATCTGAGGCGGCGTTGGAGAGGTCTTCGTCGGAAAAGTATTCGTTGCCGAGATCACCATCTTCACTCGATTGCTGGCTCGACGCTTTTCGGCCGCGTTTGGCTGGCCTTCCAATTACCCACCCGCCATCGTTACCCCCATCATCCACATGCGTGGCTGACCTCTTACTCTTGCTCTTCTTGGAAGTATGAGCCTCCGCCTCCGCTAGCTCACGGCTTCTCCGCCGCGCTTCGCTTTCGATCCAGTCCGCCTGCTCCCTCACAACAGCCTCGTCGCGGCCGACCACAACCCACTGCGCGTGTCCCCCATCCACATCGACGCCACTGAACCCGCCAGTGTGCAGTTCAAGTTTCTCGGCCAATTCGCGCACACTGCTGTGGTCGAGGTATTCACGGCCTTTGCATTTGACCACGTACAAGCCGACCGGGGCATCGAACGTCTCGCGCAGGAAACGTCCCGCGTCGAACCGGAGCCGCTCTTCGTCGGTAGCGCAAGCAGCGTATTGCTGGTCCCTGAGCCCGTCGTATTCGCTTTTCAGTTTGGCTTCCACCTCCAGCGTGGCCTGGGGCACGGAGAGCGAGCCAGCGTCGACGGCTGTGCGGAGGCTGTCTTGCATCGCCGCGATGGACTTGGACTTCCCCCCGAGCTTGAGGACATAGAACGCGATCTGCGCCTCCCACCAAGATTTGGGCTTCTTCAGAGCGCGTTTTTGCCTGGCGGTCATGTTGCCGGCTGACCCCGGGGTTAGTTGCAGATAGCGTTTAATTTGCTACCAGGACGTATCAGATACCGCCGGCATATTGCAGGGAAGAAGAGTAAGTTACCTGTTTGTTTGCCATCTTGTGTCCCTAGATAGTAAGACCGTTGGCGTCGTATTCGAACTTGCCCACCTTTACGGGCGGGTAAGGTCGCATAGGCATGTTAACTTTGGCCGAGCACAAGTGCTGATCTCAGTATGGTATGATATCTTGCGGCCCTCAGGATTAGATGGCGCCAGATGGGGAAACACGCGCGAGAGGGTTCCACCCCAACGGCCGTCGCTGTCTCACCCTCTCAGACGCGTCGAGGCTAAATGGACGACGCGCCGGGTCTCGTGACCATGCTTAGTCAGCATTTCCTTAACTCTATATTTCTGCCTCACCTTCATCGATCGACTCTGACTCTTCAAGTTCTAGTACATGTATCTGAGTCTTCGACTTGATCGCACTTGACCCTTTCCTGGCTTGCGCGAAGAGTCGTCTGTCGTAGATTGGGGATGTATATGAAGGAGTGTGCACCATGGTCTCGAGCCATAACTCACTTATAAGCGCATGTACGATCAAAAGTCATCAATGGTACTCGTCTCAGGATCACAGTAAATTAATAGATGCCGGTGAATTCACCCCGTCAAGGTCTCGTTATCACGCGGAATAGGAGGTATAAATAATGTTCTACTGACTTCAGCGTTTTCGATGACATGTACGACTTCTCATGGGTAGGTCGGAATCTCTATATATTGTCTGCACGGCAATTACAACTCTATGCAAGATTTGAAGGAACAATCCCTGCAGGACCAACGAATCTCAGTGCCCCGTGCTTGAAGATCTCGATCGCGCCCACGGGGTATCATCCGACCCCATCGAAAACGTATTACCCGTAAGGAATCTATATAAGCAGCATCCTCGAAGACCAGATATGGCCAAGACCAGCTCTACGTTTGCGTGTCACTCGCCAGTACGCGATACTGGTATCATCAGGCGTTAGGCTGGAAGGTAGCAATTCGCGATTATGGACTACGTGAATAAGACGGCAGAAACCACGATCCCGCTGATACATGAATCCAGTGAGTAGACAGTTCGATCGGTAAAGGTGACGGACAATATGGGTACTGGGCAAGGAACATCAACCAAAAGGGATGGAACATGATCCTGACTCGTGCAGGAGACTGATTCACGGTCCTACTAGAGCCCCTTTTGTCTTTTAATTGGCTCTCCTCCTCCCGGTCGCGGCTTTGTCCCTTTTCGCTTTGACTGACCTTCCACCTGGCAGCGATCAACGCGTTTATACCTCTTCTGGAGAAGAACCGAGAGTACATAGAGAAGATCCCAAGGAAGACGTTTCAGTACGGCCCAACCGCAAGACATCAGGTGAATCATAGATCTTGCTCCTTGCGTGTCGCATGCATTGACTGCCCGGTAGCTCGATGTTTACTACCCCATCAGCAATGCCTCCAAAGCACCCATCTTGTTCTTTGTATACGGCGGCGGGTTCTCCATGGGCAATCGCGTCTTCCCCGAGCCGCAGTCCCTTGGCTACCCCTGCCTCGGAGCCTACTTCGCTCACAGAGGTTTCGTCACCATCATCGCCGACTATCGACTGGTCCCGAACGTCAAGTTTCCAGGTCCCATAAAAGACTTGCGGGACGCCTTCCTCTGGATCTTCGACGACAAGCCCGAGGTGCGCCTCGTGGGTCACCCGGCGCCCGATGTCGACAACGCCTGCATCATGGCCCATTCAGCCGGGGCCACATACATCAGCACTCTTCTCCTCCACCCAGCGATCCTCTCGCCGTCCGTGCGACCTGGGTTCCTAGCCCGAATTAAGAAGGTTGTGCTGAATGCAGGCGCGTATCACTTCCGCGGTGCCTTCGCGGCCGATCCGGTAGTCCTTGAGCAATTATACGGCAGCCCCGCGGAAATTCGTGAAAAGGAGCCACTCACCCTCCTCGAGACCGCGTCCACTGATATTATTAAGAGTCTACCGGACATCTTGATGATTCGCGGCGAAAAGGAGCCACAGGCTATAATCGACGCAAACGAGGATTTCAGGAAGGAACTGGAGAAGCACCTAAAGGAGGCTGGCGGTGGAAGAAGCGGGCAGACTGAGGTAAAACTGCTCGTCAACGTAGGTCACAATCATATCAGTTGCCATTGGGCCCTGTCGTCTGGTGAAGGAGAGGCATGGGCTGAGGAAGTCATCAAGTTCCTGAAAGGGTGAATAGCCGAGGAGGATATGATAGCAGGCTTGTTGTAGGATAATGCGGTCGATCGCATCGTATCACAGATGCCCAGAAAATAGCCAACGATTCCATAGTAAGTGAAGAGGCGATTGCCATAAGAACAGGGAAACACATAGAAAACCTTTGCCTCTTCTGTCAAGGACATGGGCCTAGATCGCAGGATCACTCGTATACTACGGCAGCGGGCCCATATTTCCACTTTCCCTAGGAAGCAGTCGTGAATAAACCAACAGGATGAAGATACCTCCGCATCTTGCACACACCTTTACCCGCCAGCGAATCCGGGCCTTCAACTCCGTCTGCCCCAACGAAAGGCATATGTCGTACTGTGGGATCATTTAAGCGAGATGTCTCTCATTCTGGATGAGCGAACTACCTCAACTCGTCGGTATCTCGTGCCATTCAATGGGGATACTACGCTTCGCGCAGCTTGATATACGGGCTTGAGGTCGGCCTCAACAAAACACAGGAGTTCGAATCCTGGAGCTAGCCGTTCCTTCATAGCAGGGGCTATCACGCGGGTGATAAAATCCGGATCTCCACGTTTCCTGTACGCATAGACTTCAATGCTAGTTGCAGTATTTCCTTTTGTGCCCTCCGCCTCTGGCCAATCCTACACGTATGGTAAGAGACTCTCCTGGTTTTTCAGGACTAGCGTATCCTAAAGGGCATGACAAGTCAAAGTCAGCATAGAGACGGAATCAAGCGACTGGCCTTCGGAAGGATACAGTCCCAAACTTTGTCGACGTAGTCAATGCCATCAATATCCCTCTTGGGTTTACGCCTCAAGGCATCGTGCAGCGCCGGATCATACTCATTGAGCATCTCAACGCCATAGGAAGCTTTTGTTATCCTGGCATCGATCGGATCGTCTAAGTACCACGATAGAGCGCCATGGGGAACGGCCTTGGACCTGATGGCAGAAGGTGAGCTAGTATTTTAGGTGAGAAAGATGGACATATAACGACAGCAATCCCTCAGGCCTGACAACATCGATATGATGATCATCAGCCCAGGCAAGCACCTCTTTATAGATATATGGTGAGTTCGCCAATCCACCGACCAGCACTAGATGAACGAACTCAACCTTATGAATACATGATAGATCCAGTGCGACAACTCACGTCGGCCATCTCATCGTCATTCTCATATGCATTCATTAAACCCAAGTTTATCATGTCAAGGGATTCCTTGAAAAAATATTTCACGTCGGATCTATTTCCAATGGTTATCACAGGAGCGGTGATGTTCTGGAGTACGAATTAACCCATTAATCTTGATACGACCCTTGGTGATACACAACTCAGGAATGGAGGTGTGTCCAGGGAGACAGACGAGCTTGTATTCCTCAGTACCATCGAACTAGGAACACAAACGACATGACGACCGATGAAGGCATTGCAATAGCACACACACATACCGACTTCTTTGCCTTGTTGTCAAAGTTTTCGACTGCGCGCTGAATAGCATCTGGATTGTCGTAAACCGTACCCTTTAGTTTCTCTGTGAACAAATGATTTGAATCAATGTTTACAAGGAAGGACGTGTAGGCTCCTACGCTCCAAAAATTTCCTCGCGGCTTGACCGACAAGAATGGCTCCACCGAGGTAACCTGGAATAGTGGGTCGAGCTGGAGCGTATCATCTATCAAGAACCCAATGTCGCACCGGCCATGCCTTTGTGGGTGACAGCAATCGGCGAAACGATAGAGAAGTTTGAGATTTTCCGCACTCAGCAGCCGCTCCACGGCTTACTTATTGGAGTAGGGTATCACCAATCTTGCTCCGCTAATGCTGTGTCCTGATCAAAACAAGAGTGGTGAGTCGTGGTGCACTGTGGACCCGAGTGGGTTATAATTACCTTTCCGGGCTCGGCTGCCTGCGCGAAAAATTCTGAAAGTTCTCTATCGTTTCGCCGATTGCTGGAATACTACGCCCGCTTCGTCCCGACAGAGGATCCAGCTTGCCCATGCGGATCCGGACTCCAAACGCGTCAACACATCCTCCTGGAATGCCCCCGGTACGACACCCACCGCAATATCCTAGCATCTGTCTCGCCCATCTCGCAACCCACGGTAGGCGACATCCTGGGTACGCCTTCGGGTATCAAAGCACTCTCCCGCTTCATTGCGAAAACAGGCGCATTCACCAAGTCCGGCGACGACCGCTTCGTAGCACCGAATACCGATGTCTACTCAGATCCACAGACAGATGAACCATCGTTGGCGCATAACCGAGGACAGACACGGAGGCGCAGGAGACGTCCATCTACTTGACCTATTCTATGGAATTATTCTATGCTCTTATGCTTATGATACCTTGACCCTCTCTGCTGACCTCCCCTGCACACCCAACCGCACACATTAAGACTCTGCTCGTTGATAGTGGACTCTATTACAGTTTTCCTGAAACTCAGTTGTAAATATTTATCACTATTTATCGCTACGTAGAGTAGTACTGTGCCTTGGCGCTAGTAGTAGTTCGCCTGCTCGCAGTATAAATACAAAGAATCTCTCTCTCTCTCTCTCTCTCATCTATCAAGATCAGGCAGAAAGCATACACTTAGGCATTGTTGTCTCCTCTAACCACAGAGGTTCGACTTCCTTTACCCGATAGCCACTGGTATGGAACGTCGGCAAAGGCAACCTAATTCTGCGGGACTGTGATCACTTACGTGACGTCGATCGTACAACTAAGGGCAAAAATTT